TCTAATGACTGATATCTTATGAAATGCAGGGCAAGTTGTATGCAATCATGGAAATATGCCGTTCATTTGATCAAATATTTAAAGAGCATCTTGATGGAGTGTATGTTCTACATTCTTTCATCTTTTTATGTGATGTAGTGCCCTTTTCTCCTACCTTTCACAATACCTTTTGTGCTCTATTTGTTTTATCAATACCTTTGTCAATCCCATTCTGCAGGAGGCCTGGAGGTGATAAAATTTATCATGTCTTTGATAATCAGCTCCCTGCTGCTTTAAAAAGGTTGCAGTTTGACAAGCAGCTTTCAATGGAAAACATACGGAAACTTATTACTGAAGCTGATGGGTACCAGCCTCATTTAATAGCCCCTGAGCAAGGGTACCGTCGTCTGATTGAGTCTTCTCTAACTACTATCAGGGGCCCTGCTGAGGCAGCTGTTGATGCGGTATGTGTGAATCAAAGAAAGTCTACACTATTTGTTATAAGACTTGTTAGTCTATGACCATGTTGCTAGTCCATTTTTTTTTCATAGGATTGTATTGAAACTTAACATGACCTCTTTATTGATCTAAAAAAACCTTAGCCAAAGAGCCTTGGCTCAAGTGGCCCTTCTTGGGGATACAAGAGCTCGGGGCTCTCCATATAGGTAGGTTTGATTCTACCCTATCTTTTTCTGAATTTTCAAATTTCTAGGGCTTTATGTCTCTTTTGTTAACCAAAAGCAAAAATTTAACCTTAATGTTGTTAAAAGCCTGTGCACTGGTGAATATAATACGTGTTGTTAAAAGCCTGTGCACTGGTTAAAGGCAAAAATTTAACCTTAATGTTGTTAAAAGCTAAAATATTCATATAATGCATGTTTGAGCTATCATGTATTTAATAATTGATATATTTTCACTCAACTTAAAGTGTTGACTTTTCCCACTATTCACGCTCAACTGATTTGTTACTTCGCATTGTTTACTTTCAGGTTCATTCCTTGCTCAAGGACCTGGTTCACAAATCTATTAATGAGACTGTGGTATGTTCCTGTTGATACTAGGGTTCATTGTTTCCTCCGTAATTCTTGCTGTGACTTTTTCACTTAACTTCTATGCTTCTTGGTGTTCAGGTTTTGTCTTAATTTATTCTGTGAGTAATCGTTTTTCCTGCAAGTACCACGGAAAGTAAATGGCTTGTATTACTTTAAGTTTCTAATTGTTGGGTTGCAGGATTTCTTTGGGCCTGTGGTTAACTCATGCATGCTAAAATGTTCGCTAACAATTTAACATCTTTTTCCGTGTTTTTGTTGACTTTTTATAGACTGTTTATTTTGTCAAGATATGCTAGAGGCTATTGAAATTTTGCTATTAGGATTTTGAAAAATTTCGATCCAAAACTTCCATGCCTCCCATGTTATGCGTTTGATCTTTCTCAGAGGAATTTGAAATAATTCATTATGAAATGAGGTTGTCTAATATTTTTGTTTTGTTTTTACAGTCAAGTTATGCGTAGGTATTTTCCCCTTCAATTTGTTCGATCAAAATGACGTGGGATTCATCTGACTTTCAGGACTTGAAGCAATATCCTGGTCTTCGTGTTGAGGTGGGAAATGCAGCAATTGAGTCTCTAGAAAGAATGAGGGAGGAGAGCAAAAAAGCAACACTACAGCTAGTTGATATGGAGTGTGGCTATCTGACGGTTGATTTCTTTAGGAAGCTCCCTCAAGATGTTGACAAGGGTGGCAATCCTACACATTCAATTTTTGATAGATATAATGATTCATATCTTAGGCGAATTGGTAAGTCTTGTCAAACTCAAGGAATTTTGATTTAAATCACCTAGCTTGATCCAGTGTGACCTTCCTCACAGTGAAATGCGTTAAATTTATTATTTATTCTCTCTTCTTATAAACAGGGACGACAGTTTTGTCTTATGTCAACATGGTCTGTGCTAGTCTTCGACACTCGATTCCCAAGTCCGTTGTCTATTGCCAAGTGCGAGAGGCAAAGCGAAGCCTACTCGATCATTTCTTCACTGAGCTAGGCAAATTGGAGGTGAGTAAAAATCTGCCTCACGGAGTTTATGGCGGATATTACTCGTTGTAGCCCCCCCTCCCTCAAATGGCCAGTTGGTAGCATGTTGTTGAGTTTTTCATTTAGTTTCTTTTATATTTGCCAACATTGAAATTTTTCATGTCTTCGTTAATGAAACTTGGCAGCAAAAGCGTTTATCATCTTTGCTGAATGAGGATCCTGCGATTATGGAACGGCGTAGTGCCCTTGCAAAGAGGCTGGAATTATACAGAAGTGCACAAGCTGAAATAGATGCTGTTGCTTGGTCCAAGTAGATGGGAATCGTGTGCATTGCGTTTATACATGGAGAGACTCTATAACACGTTGGTTGAGCGTGTAATTTTTTGTTGTATTTAGAGTGCGTCTTCTACTTATTAAAAATGTATTGTCTTCTATGTCTTGTTCTGATAATAGATCTGATTTTATTTTTCCGGGTTATATATCATTTATTAGGTGTCTTCACTCCCTCAACGTGATTCTTTTCAGCAACCCCCCATTTTTCAATGTATGATTAGCGTGATCATTTTGTACGCGCGTAAAATCATCTAGAGGAGAGAGCTCTTTTAGATGGGGGAAAAACAATTGTTGAAAATATTATAAATTTTGTAAAATAATGGGATTAAGTCAACTATAAAAATCCAATGCTTTTGTAGTCTAATGGCATGTAAATTCTCTTATAAGTAAGAGGTTATGGGTTTAATTTTATTTATAATTTCAAGGTGTTAGTCTGTCTCTTTAATTAAAAAAAAAAATCAAATGAAAAATGAATAGTGAGAATGCAAGGCCTGGGGATCAAAACCTTTGCTCCTCTCATGAGAAAAACAAATTTGCGTTTGTGCAATTGGAAGGGTCAATTCCTCAACATGGCTGGGAAATTTATTCTCACAAAATCTAGTCTTCTATCTCTACTTAGCTATATTGTGTAAAATGTGCTCTTGCACATCTTAATTGATTTGGAAAAGAGTTCTCGCAATTTTCTGAGATTCTTCCAATTACACCAAAAAGTCTCACCTAATATCTTGGGATTGTATTATCAAAGGAAAAAATTATGGAGGACTAGGTTTTAAGAAACGTAAAAGTCAAAATATTGCTTATATTATGAAGTTATGCTAGGGTATCCTTATGAAGCCTAATAATTGTCTTTAGGCTTGGATTTTGCATGATAAATATAAATGCAACAAGTCCATTGTTTCTATGGTTTGTAAAACTAACTCTTCCTCATACATATGAACCAGTATTTGTAAGGTTTGGGATAACTTTAAATCTCATATTGATTGGAAGGTTGGTAAAGGGGATAAAATTTCCTTTTGATATGACAAATGGTTCTCTCTTTTTGAACCTCTTATTAAATATGCCTTCCCTAATGTTGAGTCTATTTTACATGCTAGAGTTTCTAACTTCCATTTTGCAACAGGCAGATGGAACTTAGTTCAAATGGCAAGATATCTCCATTCAAATGTCATCAATCTTATCTCTCGTTCAACCTCTTAATCCCTTGGGAGATGCTGACAGTCTTTATTGAAGGCCTTCTATTGATGGAAACTTCTCCATTAAATTTGCTTATAAGGCTATTGAAAACCAATGAGACAATAACAACTCTAAAATTTAGTCTAAGATTTGGAGATGGCTTACTTATGAGAAAATTAAATTATTCCTTTAGAAAGTGGCTTGGGATCATCTTCAATCTAAATATACATGTTCTAATGGCTCCAATCCTTGCCAAAGGGCCTACCCTTTTGGTTGTAATTTTTTAGACTCATTGATTCACATTTTACAAGATTGCAAGAAGAAATTAAGAGATGTTTGGTCAAAACTAGTTATATATTCTAAACTTAATATTTTCTTTTCTTTTAACTTGTAGGATTGGGTACTATGAAATGCAAAGAATGATGTGGGAGGACCAAATACAAGGAAAGCTCATTGGTAGAGATTTTTCGCTCATATCTGTTGGAGCATTTAGAAAGATAGATGCAAATACATGAACTCAGAAGAATACATTGCCAACAAAGATATCACTTTCACATCTACTGAAGATATAATAAATGATCTAAAGCTTCAGTCAAGGCTCAACCACATGTTATTGCAAGGTGAAAAAGTTTAAGCCAAATGGTGCCTCCTAAAGCAAGTTGGGTAAGACTTGATATTGATGACTCAATTACCACCCTATTGCTGTTGCAAAACTAATAGGTATTCTTGAAGGAATCAAAATTTGTTGGAATGACAAGTTTGATAAAGTTAACATTTATTCTGACTCTCTTGAAGCTCTTATGCTCATCTAACATGAATTCTCAAATAACCACCCCTCATTGAAATTATTGGAAAAATTAGAGAATTTGTTATAAGAGACTGAATAATCACGTTTGATCAAGTCTTTAGATAAGTGAATAGACGTATTGATTGGTTTACACATAAATCTTTATATGATAATTTAGAGATTAGGATCTTTGATTTTTCACCCAATGGGTGTAGGAATTTTTTGTACTCTAACTTAATTTGTCACCATTTTGCATGAATTTTTTTATAGCCTTTTATTCCAAAAAAGAGGGTTGGGAAGGGGGCTTTTTACTCTCAGCTTTAGGCCTTAAGCTCTAATGAATTACTCCATTATATTTTATTTATAAGTCAAATTCTAAAAAATTTATTTGATTCGATTTATAAGTTACGGTAAGATTTTTTAAATAATATTTTTAAAATTATTCTTCATGGAAAAGTAAAAAAAATGCATTACTTTTTAAATTTATTATATATAATATATTTTAAATTTTATAAACTTTTATTTTTTATTGTTTTATATTAATATTGATGAGTTTGATTAAAATAATTAATAAAAAAAATCAGGGGAGTAATGATTTGTAAACGACATAGCGTATCTCCATCCTACAGTGACCAACAAAACTTCGTGCCTGAAAACAGGTAACCAACAGAACTGATGCGCGGGATCGCGGATATGCGTGGTTGAGTAATCACTCCAACTTTAGCATACGACATCGTCACGCCATTCTCTAATCTCTATAAATGCCTTGGTCGTTTCTGGTTTGCTTCCTGGTTCTGAAAGCAACCTGAGTGGGGGGTCGGTGGAGGTCAGGCCCGGTGACGTTCCCAACGTTTGCTGGAGCCATTCACTCACTCCCCATTTTAATGTTTCGCTTGGACCTGCATTATTTGCTGTTTGGTGTTCTGCTTCCTATCCGTCACCTGTGATCCTTCACTTTCATTCTCACTTTTCCCCCAAGGTATATTCTTCTCTCTGATTCCAAATGCTTTCCAGATCTCATCCCAAGTCTTTCATTCCCTTCTGTGATTTGAATTTCTACAAGCAGCAATATCCGGTCAACTGTGTATTTTTTTCCGGAAATTGATCGAATCCAAGAGGTCTTTCATTTTGCGAAATTTTGAATTTTTTGGGGATGATTTCATCGCACATCCAAGATGGATCGAGAAGATTTTTTTTTTTGTCATTGTTTATGTTTTGGTTCATCATATTTTTCTCTCAATTCGTCTTCGGAAATGAACCTTCTTTTCTCGAACTTGTTTTGGTTCGCTGTTTATGTTCGTTGGTACGTTGACGATTTATGTGATTGAGACTTACCAGTTTTTCAGGAACTTCGTAATGGGACTATTGAATAAGACATGTATTTGTGTTTATGAAGCAAGGCGTTTCGAAGAAAAGGAGAAAATTGGTAGTGTAATATATCGTGTTCAAGAACATAATATGATGCCAAATATTAGTTTAAGCTCTTTAATATATTAAAATCCTAGTTCCTGTTTGTTTTCCCGGTTTTATTTATGTTTCATACCAAATCTGTCACTGTCCTTTGTCGTTTTATCATAGGCAAAAGTACTTTGGTTCCTTTGTTAAATTATACTTCTACTTGTAACTGCATATCAACATTTTAAGCTTCAAAAGGGTATCGGTGATCATGAAAGTTACTAATCTTATCTCGTAGAGGTTAGATTCTTCTGACGCAACTTAGGATACTTGATTGTGTACTTGTGCGTCTGGAATCTTGAAATTCATATTCCTAGATTAGTGTGGATCGTGTATGTATAATTTGATTTAAGCCAGACGACTTTAAATAGAATTGAATCCATTCCAAGCCCCTTTTCTATAGAAAAAGCTCTTCCTCCTCCTTCCAACTATCCATGTATTTGCACAATAGATTTTCTCAAACATGTTACCATGTCATAGATTGGACTTGGAGCATAAATAATGCAGGGGTATGACTCTTCTTATTTACGGCATGAATAATCTGTAGAATTTTACGATATGAAATGTTTCATCAACGGTTATGGAAAACCTTTTTTTGTTAGAAATTTGATATTTTGTTCGCCTTACATAGACATTTCAATAATTTGATTGACTCTTGACAATTTCCACGCTGACCCATTTCTCTCCTTTTTGACTTCAGCGACAGCAGTTGTGAAGATAGCAAAAAGGAAGATAGCCAGAAAAAAAGCATAGGGTGTAATGGCCTCTGAGAGGGAATGTTTTGACCTTTCAGGACCCTTACATCTTTCTTTTGTTGACTGGTAAAGCCTATTAACGTGTTTTTTTTTTTCTGCTTTGGATTATCTTGCTTCCTCATCTCGAGCAACATGTGAGTATAAATTAGTTGTTGATTGTCCTTGACTGCGTATCTGAAAATTTATTGATTTGTCTGTCAAGAACAAGATTTTTTTTCTTGTGGTATTCAAGAATATAATTAGATTTTTCTTGGACGTAGTGCTTCAGTTGAGTAATGATGAAAAGGACTTGCTCGCTGGTGATTTTGACTCTTGATAAATATTTTTAGCATTTTATTTTTTGGTGAATCTATTGCTGACACAAAATAATATGCTATCTTTTGCAGGGATAATGCATATCATCGAATGTCAGTTGCTGCGAGTCTAGTACAAGGTGTTTACATACTAGAAAGGGACCGGCAAGAAAATCGCGTAGGCCCCAATGCTCTTGCACCTCCTTGGTGGACTTTCTTCCATTTTCAGTTGTTTCGTCCATTGATAGATGACGTTGATAGGTCCATCTTTGGAGCCATTTATGAATTCAAGCCACCTCCCTCTTCCAAGGGTAATGACACTATATCTAGAAGTCCACGATATGTGATTGCATTTCGAGGCACTCTGACAAAGGCAGATTCAGTTTCTCGTGATATTGAGTTGGATATCCATTTTATCCAAAATGGACTCCATCAGACATCTCGCTCTGACATTGCTATCCAAGCTGCTCGGAACATGGTAGCCACCATAGGGGATTCAAATATCTGGTTGGCTGGTCACTCACTGGGATCTGCCATGGCAATGCTTACAGGGAAAAGAATGGCCAAGAGTAGCATGTTTATTGAATCTTTTCTTTTCAACCCACCATTTGTTTCTGCTCCAATCGAGAGAATCAAAGATAAAAACTTGAAACTTGGGATTCGAATAGCCGGCAGTGTGATAACAGCTGGACTCGCCCTTGCTATGAAGGCTAAGCAGAAAGGGGAAGTGTCCTTGGATGATCAGTTGGATCCATTTGCTGCTTTGTCTGCCTGGGTCCCCTGTTTATTTGTGAATCCATCCGATCACATCTGCTCAGAATACATAGGATATTTTGAACACCGGAAGATGATGGAGGAGATCGGTGCAGGTGAAATTGAGAGGTTAGCGACTCAGAATTCAATCGGTGATTTGCTGATGGGAGCTTTTGGTAAGGAATCAGAAGCCCTGCACCTAATTCCTTCAGCTTCTTTGACAGTAAATGTAACTCCAGTTCAGGATTTCAAAGAAGCTCATAGCATTCATCAGTGGTGGAGACCTCATTTGAGTCTGGAACACAAGCTCTACAAATACAAGTAGCTCTAGTTACTGGCTTTTATGTTCATTTGGCGCTGTCGCTTCTAGTTTTCCTTGTGAATGTCTATATACTTAATTTCGGTTTTGGAGCAATGTGTATGCATGTAGATTGGTTGAACTGCATTTCTTCTGTAAATAGAAGCTTGGTGGTTCATGTGTCTTTACTGATTGGTAAGACTCGCGTTGTGTTTGGTGTACTTGGAAAAGGAGAGGGACATGGCATATGCAGACACAAATACTATGTTTGGTATGCTTGAAATTTATTCTACTATCTTTCCTTTTCCATGAGAGGATAGGCCAGATCATTCCATGGTTGGGGGTGAAGGAATGGCACTGTAGATCAAGGAATAATCATTGAAAAGTCTTATTTGCCCGTGAAATCTTTGATTTTTGCATTATACATGGACACAAATGAAGAATCAAACTAAATGGTGTGAGCTCAACAGAAAAATCTGTTCGATATATTCCAGCAGGAGTAAGCTCAGATGTAATCGAAGTTAAGAAAATGAAGACATTGTAACAAACGAAAAGTAAGAAAGATGGAGGTTGTGAGAAGAGGAACAATGAATTAAAATAGTGTCTGGATAGGTAGTTTGGATTTAAATTTTATATTTAAAATTTTGTATTTTAAATCTCATGTTTAAAATTTATATATTTTAAATTTTTTATTTTCAGTAGTCCAAAATTTTCTAAATCAAGATGTATAAGTTGAAATTCAAAACAAAAACAAAAAATTAGAAATAATAATTTTTTATATTTTTCAATTGTTGAAAAATGATAGCAAGAAATGAAAAGAATATACAAGGAGTTATAGAGGTATAATAAATGAAAATGCAAAGATAATAAAAAATTTAAAGTGCTTAAAATTTTAAATAATTAAAATGTAAAAGGAATTTGAAATTATAAATAAATTATAATAAAAAAATTAAATTCATACATTTTTATATGTCATTTGGATGCAACTCAACTACATTTAAATTATAATTTCTTTGTAATCTTAAATTCTCTCTACACCCTAATAATTTAAATTTCAATAAATTCAAACATTTAATCTCCTTGACAGCTATTATATCTTTTCTTACCTTTTTCGATTAAAAAATAAAAATAAATGTGTCATTTTCAATTTTAAATTTTCGTTTTGAATATCAATTTATCACTCTTCTTCATTTGAAATGTGTTAAACTATTCAAGCAAATAATTTTAAACACATGGATTTTAAATGTGAGACGTGAAGAATGATATGGAACATTTTGGCGAAGAATGAACCTAAAGCACGTGCATCTCAGACCAGATAGAATACGAAGAGTTTGGAGGAGAAGCAAGAACCCGCATGCATCTCGAGCAAGGGATAATGGATGACGAAGAAAGTTTCGAACTTGCATTTGAAGTCCTCTTGAAGCACTGTATCAGATTAAAAAGGGCCAGCAATGTTCTGATCTAATTAATGGCTAAAATGAGAGTGACTATAATCGTTCTAAAGAAAAGTAAAATAAAATTTGTATTATTTTATTTCAAAGGTTGTTTAGTCATTCAAGTTTATATATTTTCCATCCTCATCACTTTTTTATCCCAACAAATATAATAATATAAAAATATTTTTATTTTATATAAAAGATACTTAATTAGGCATTACGTTATATTATATATTCTCAATTCTCATTTATATTCTTATATTTTTTATTTTTTTTGACTAAATTACACACAACTCTTTTAAGCTTTAAATTATGAACAAATAATCTCTTTAATTTTTAAATTTTAATAATAAACCTCCTTAAGCTTTCAAGTTTATGCAAGTAACCTTTAACCATTGATTATGTACCCTCTTAAACTTTATTTTGTGTGCATTTAAGCTTTCAAACTTTGATTAATATATGAATAACTCTCTAAATTTTAAGTTATTTGTAGATAATTAATGTATGAAATTAATCATATAACATTATCTGCATAAACATAAGAGTTGATGGAGGTTCATTATAAAATTATAAAGATTAAAAAAGTTATTTATACACGGTTTGAAATTTAAGAGAATATTTTATAATTTAGCCTTCTTTTTTATTCATTTATCTATGTTACTAATTTTTGAGTCAGTTTGAATATTGTCAGAATCAAGAAGTTTCGGCCCAAAAAAAAAAAAAAGGAAGTAATTCCAATGCTATTTTACTTTCATAACCTTTTCTCTCCTTTTTTTTAACCCCATTCCTTCACTATTCAATATTCATTGTGATATAACTCCTCTTGCTCTTATCACAAGGTAATTTTTAAAAATGATACTCCCTTTGTTTAAAAAATATTTTTAAGGAGTTGTATATTTAAAAATGTAAGGTATTTTTAATCTTTTAAGGTGTGATTATTGTCTTTTTTCAAAAGTGTTCATATTGATAATAACTTTATATTTATTATAGAGTATTTAATTAAAATAAATATAAAAAAATATGATTAATTTAAAAATAGATAGCAATTTTATTGGAGATGAAATTCGATCAAAAATATTTTACATTTTTGAATGGAGGGAATAGATGTTTCTTATTATAAGTTATATTTACTTAGTTTTTTTAATATTACTTTTATTTTAAAATTATTAACTATGAAAGGAAATATTAAAATATTTCATTTAAATATAAATAAATTCGAAAACTTATTCGGACAAAATTAATCCTCTTAACAAGTAATATCGAAAGGGTGCCGCGACATGCTCACTCATTACAACATTAACCATGGATAAGAACAATATCGAAACTGATCAAAGGATAATCTCATAAAAATATTCACTCACAAGTTGCAAGTTGGATTACAAAACTAGATTCTAGAAACTGACACATATCCACATCCCAAACAGACATGACTGGATTAATGACAGTGAAATCGAAAGGTCTCAAATGGGACTCCAGCAGAGTCACATAATAGAGCAGACGGTCTCCGGAGTGTAAAAGGGATGAAGCTGACGTGGCGGCGGAGCTTGAGGGAAAGACGCCAAGGGAGTCTCATAGAACGATTGGTAGCAACGATAAGGATCCGTGTCCCCAAAATGCAGGTTCCCACAGTGGTTGAATCCGTCTCTGTAGCTTAACGGGGCCCTCGCCACGTAATCATCGTAGCGAAAACGCTCGGGTCTTCCGTACACGTACGGGTAATAACCATCAGGGAATCGATACGGGTATCCATACCCGTATCCGTACCCACTATGAAATGGTCCGTAATACCCTTGGCCATGACCACCTCCACCAAATCCACTGTTACCATGAAACGCTTCTTTCTTTCTCGCCTCTGCTTTCTTCTTGGACGCTTTCTCTCGTTTTCTGTGATCGGAATGGGAAGCCTTCTACAGCGCAAGAAATCCAAAAGGAAAACAAAATCAGATTCAGAAAGTAGAAAGACTTGTATTAGAAGGCAAGAAAATGACCAAGAGAAATTGGTGTGTTTGGGAATGAACGAACCTTGTAGGTGCAGGGCTCCATGGGAGGCTCTGTTCTTTCACTGGGGAGAATCTTCAGTGTGTTTTAGTTTCAGTTTCAGCTTTTGATTCTTCAACTTGAGACGCTTTGGTTGGCTCCAAGATGGTGTGGTCTTTCGTTAGCTTTATAGGCATCCTATAGAAACTCAGGTCAGATTTTTTTTTTTTCACTACGGTTTTATCTTTAAGCCATGAATTTGGGACTTTGTTTTGGGAAAATCTTGGAATGCAGATTTGATGAGATATGGCCTCACGAACCGAATCAAGCAAATGGAGGTTTCCTTTTATAGGCCAAGCGTGATTGAGGAAGTTCCCTTTTACTTTTGTGTTTTTGCCTTGGTGCATTCTAAAGTTTTAGACTTCGGACTTTTAAGATTTAAAAATGTTCCTAAGAAACAAAAATTGGCGCGGGATAATGTTATTGTCCATGTCACAATTTTTTTTTAATAGCATGTCACAACTTTATTCTCCCTCCTTTTCTTTTTCCTTTCCTGCTCATCCACATTGTTGGACTGAAAAATCGAAATGCGAGATTATAGATTCAAAGGTTGCATGACAAAAAATAACATCTCAATAAATCACACTAGCTAAAGCCGTCATTTTTCAGGGAAAAAAAGCCGTTATTTCAACACTGTAATATATTTTTTAAAAAACTTTTTACACTTTCAAAGGTAAAAAACTGCTAGTGGATTAAAACTTTTTAAGCTATGCTACCATTTTTACATCACTTGAAAAATTCTAGCCGACTCAACTTGTACGTTAGTGGATTAAACATACCTACCTACCCACCAATCCACACAACTAATAAAGGCAAAGGAATACCAAAAATATAGAGTTGTCTATCCCTCCTCCTCCCAACTCCTCAACCCTTGAATCTCAATTTTAATGGTTGGTTATTATTGCATTATAAAATTATGATTATTATAATATTAAATAATAAATAACTTAGTAATTTTAAGCTGTTAAAGTTTATAATATATTATTTAATATTACTCTTATAAATAAATTTATTAGTTAATATTATAATAGTATTTTTATAATACAATGAATCTCAGCCATTGAAATTGAAACCGAAGAAGGGTGGAGAAGTTGGGAGAAGGGGTCAGGGGAGGAGGAGGGATGGGTGGGAGGGAAAGAAGCCCATTCTCTAAAACACCGAGTGTATTATGGGTTTAAAAAAAACACACAAGAAGAAGAAGAAGCCAAGGAAATAATATGAACTAGTATGTCATTTGCAATTTCATATTTTCAGAACGATGAAGAAAGAGGAAAAAACAAGCACAGCCATCAACCTCCATTTTCTAGTCGCTGGCCATTCCTTCGTTGTTATTTCTTCCGTTCGTACCCTGTCCGGCTGTCACTTCCCACCACGACACCAATTTTTAAATAAACAGCAGGGTTAAAATATAATTGTATTTTTAAATTATTTTTAAAAAAATAATATTATCTCTAAACAAATTAAATTAAAATAATATTATCTTTGTTGTTTAAACGTTTGTGAATTGAATGTATATGATTTTTAATCTTTAAGAGCAACATTATTCTTCTAAAAATAATTTAAAAATAAAATTATAGTTTAACTTATAAAAAATTGATGGCACTGACTATTAAATGATAAGAATAACATTACTTTAATTTAATTAATTTAAAAAGTAACATTATTTTTTTAAAAATAATTTAAAAATAAAATTACACATCAACCCTAAATATTAATGTGACTTCATATAGAGAGTAATTTGATTTATGAAAAATATACCTTATAGTTCCTTATATTTTCTGAATTATTAATTTAATTTTTAAATTTTGATTCGAAATATTTCAATTTTGATTGTTTCTTAAGTTAGAACAATGTATTCTTTATATTTTTTTAATTGGATACAATTCAACCCTTAAAATCCTTTTCACTCAATAAATTTTAAAAATTGAGTTATATAAGTTAAAATTCAAGAATTCTACCACTAGTTAAAAAATTAAAAGCTAAAAATTATAATATTAATTCACACAATTACTCTGTTTGAATAGTAAACGACACGAATAACAAGAACACCATGAGCAGAAGACTAGTAAAGCAGCGTACATCTGTTGGGTCCTTGGTTCAACATGCCAGCTCATCTATGGAATCATGTCCCCTAGAAAATGCCGCAATTCCCGTTCTTTGATTTCCTTCAGCCATTTTTACACTAACCACTCCCACTCCAAAACTCAAGTCCCTGGGCCTCCATTTCCAATTACCGGCAATGCGATTGGCCCTCTCATTACCTCCATCTGCCAAAAAGCTTCCATCCTCCCCATAAATCTACTCCTTTTATTCACCCCCCCACCCACCAAAAAAAAAAAACAAAAGAAAATATTACTTCTCCTTACATTGAGACCCGAAAGTGACCTTTACCTACGACCCTATTGCCTTCAAAGCCTACCAAATTTCTCACTGCCTTCAAAGCCCACCAAATTTCTCAGATTTACACAAACTTAGATTGGTTACTTCAACTCACATTCCCACAATACCCACATTTCAACGAACACTCAGGCGAGCCAAGAGCGCCGACGAAATGAGTTAAAAAATATATATAATTTTTACAATTTCATGCCCTTCCCTCTCATTATACACCTGAGAGACACCAAATAGGCAATTTTCGCCCAAAGACTAAGAATTAAAAGAGCTAAAACTAAAAGTTACCAGAACTGAAAAAGAGAAAGAATTAGCAGTGGAAACCTAACACAGATCCATCGCTGAGAGCGACGGCAACCCTACAATCGGCTTTAGCTTCCACGTGATGGCTGAAAAAGTGCAGCACCTTCACTCGTCCGGCCATCTCCATCCTCGATTCGATCTCCATGGTGGGCCCGATCCTCGGCCCGGTAAGCCCCGGCGGCAGAGTCGAGAAGCCCATGCTGGACGGAGTGGAGAGGGGAAAAGACTGGACGGCGAACGAGGCGGCCATGAAGATGGTTCTTCCGGATTCGATCTTGCCGGCAGGAATGAACATGAAGCCGATTTGGTTGCCGGCGTAGAGAAGCTGGAGGGAGCTATCGTAGTGGGAAAAGGCCGCTCGGTTGGGATTTCGGACGGAGGCGTATTGTGAGAAGGTGAAATTGACGGAGGCGTTAGTGACGGAGAAAGACGGAAGCTGGATGGCGCTGACAGAAATCTTTGGATCCTGAGGTTTAAACACCATGAAGTAAACAATGAGGACGACCATGACCAGGAAGATCAAGAAGATGGTGGCCACTATACAAGAGGCAAGGTTGGTGCGGCCGGACGGCCGGTGAGGCTTGCTCATGGCTTCGCTCGCTCCTCCACTCACACACGCACAACACGCACTGGATCTAGTGGACTCTGTGAGGATGCGGCACTATAATATTGAAGGAAGAGGACAAATACAGAGCGTGAGAGAAAACTGGGTCGGTTCCACGGTGTGAAAGATGGGGCCTCTTTTTTTTTTTTTTTGGTTGATGATTTATTTACATGCTAATTTTGTGCCCCATTCTTCTTTGTTTATCTTTAAGACTATCTCTGCAGCTCTATCTGCCTTCACTTGACTTCCCAGTGCTTGGACTGTGCTCTTTTCAGAGGCTCTTCGGTCCCACTCGTGGTTTCGCAGTGATGGTGCCTGTAATTATAATAGTGGTTTTTGTGGGAAAAAAAATGCAAAAAAGAAAAATATTTGGATGACGGGAGAATGGATTTGCATTTAAAAGTGAAAAGAGCATGTACATGCACTGAAAAGATGAAGGCATAAAGAAATTATTCATTAATTTAAATTAATTTGTTTGATCTGATAAAATATAGGAGAAATGACAGTTAATTTTCATCAAAATGGACAAATAATAAAAGAGCACCATGAAATAGAATAATAATTTTTAAATTTTTCTGAACTTATTTGATATAATTTTTTTCATAAAATTATATATCTAACTCTCAATAAAATAATTGAAAGTATAGTTATTAAAGTTATTGGTAACAATGGTAAATTGTTAACATACGAAGTATGATTGTTAATTCATTATGCATGAATGATTTTGTATACTTATTTTGGATTTCTAATTCTTTTGGTCATTTATTTAAGTTTAATCAAATTTAATTTTTTTATTCGTTTAATGTCATTCTTCCTTTAAAAATGGTAATTTTCTTTCTTAATTGGTCCTTCATGCTTTTCATTAATATCATATTTGTCCCTCTAAACGTAAAATTGGATTTCGTGCCACTATTTCTTGAGATTAAGTTGAGATATTTCCGATTCTATATTTTAAAATGATATTTTTACATCAGATATAAAATTAACATAAAATGATGATATTTTCAACAAAAAATTAAAAATAAATTTAAATAATCTAGATTTAATCTTAACGATTTTTTTTTAAAAAAAGACCAAAATAATAATATTTTTACCTCAACAGAATAATAATAATCTGAAGTCTAAACAAAGGAGCACTAAATTTGGCCATGCTTAGGATTGATTTAGTATTATCATTAGACATGGTTTTTCCTGACATGACTATATTACTGCATTAGATTCGAGTATTGTGGAATTCGACTATATATAGCTCTTTTGCAGGTGTCTTTTACATTTATACAAACTCGAACCTCATACTTCATGTTTATGGCGATCATAACTCCTTCTATTCTATTAGAACTAACGCCTCTTGGTGTACCATTACTTCACGAGAAAGTTTTTTTTTTTTTTTTTTTAACTTGATGACCATTAGACAAAGTTGAGAGCAAACAAAAGGCAATTGCAAACGTATAGTGGCCCAAATCTACTTGTGTTTGACACATCAGAGCGTACGAGGGGGAAGAATTGCCAGCAACCGGCAGTCTCCTGACCCAATTTTAAGAGCGAAGCCCAATGGTTAATCCAAGCTCATCAGTGACTGTTGGGTATTGAGTCGAGATACTCGACACAAATAGAATAGAGGAGCACATTTTTTAAAAGTGATAGATAGATAATTTAGATATTTTATGAGGAATATTTTTAAAAATACTGTCTTGAATCCAAATTATAAGACATTCTTACAATCAAACTTGGTCCCAAATGTAGAATATTTATTACTTTTTAGAATTATTTTTTTAAATATATTCTTATATTAGAGAAATACTTAGATAAACTAATTGTACCACATTATTCGTAATCTATTCAATAAAAATAAAATATTTAGATGCATTAAATATAAATTAATTTTGATATTAATGATAGTGGAGAGAAAAAAGTAAAAAATTTAATATGTATTATGTAATAAAAATAAAATAAATTTAAAAAATATCACACAAGATTTTATTTATATTATTTAAAATATTTTAATTAGACAGATCACAAATGACTCGGCACACCCGATCTACCTAAATATTTCTCCTCATATTAATTAATTGGGACATGAAAAGCAGAAAAAATGTTACTATTTTTTAATGAGAGTCAAAAAAATAATTGTTTTTATTTATTAATATTTAAAATACTCCTTCTATCTATATATATATATATAATATTTTTAACCCAATCCCACATATTAATAAAAGCTTGTTATTTAGTTAAAATCATATTAAATCAAAATAATTTTTTAATTTTACCCTACTAATGTTAATTAATATTATGATGGCAATAGATAAAGTATACAATTAATATCTCTTTTTTAAAATAAAAAAATTATCTAATTATAAAAAAAATACTCCTCTATTAAAAAATATAAGGCATTTTTAATCGAATCTCACTCAATAAAATAGTTATCTACTTTCAAATTAACCCTATCTTTTTATATTTATTTCTATTAAATACCATATAATAAATATAAAGTCATTCATTAAAATAAATACTTTAAAAAAAAGATAATAATTATATCCTAAAAAATTAAAAATATTTTATATTTTTAAATATTTAATTTTTTTAAAAAATAATTTATATATTTTAGTGAAAGGGATAAGTTTTTTTATAATATTTTCTGCAAAGACGAAGGGAGAACGACGAAAAGTTTTGAACAGGGTGGAGTATATATTTTTAAATTTGAACCGAGACTTATTTGGAAACAGGTAACGTACGAACTTTACACGTGGGGCTTACATTATGTGTTGCATTGCAGCTTTCCATGTTGGCGTGGCACCCCGTGGGGTCTCTCCGCTCCACTTTCCCTCCATTTTCCTTCATTTCTCCCATCCTCACTTTTCATTAATTTTATCATTTAAAAAAATTATTTAACAAAATAATTTAAATGATGAGAATTGAAAAAATAGATGGGAAATGAAGAGGGAAAAATAGAGAGATCTCTCTTCCCATTCCGGGACACTGGAGAATCAATCTGATTGGGTGTCAGACTGCCTCCATTTTTCTCAACTTCTAAAATACTAATTCAAAGGCGAAAGGCAAAACTTCTTAGATCTTTTTCAAATAAAAAAAAAAACCATAAAAAACTATAACACTAATGTAATTTTTTTAATCATCTGGATTAGACTCTACCAATAATACAAAATATCTCCTCCCAATTACTGAAAGTGGTAGGTAAATTTCTCTCAATTAAATTGTTATGTATATAAAATTAGATGTGAGCGCTTTAAACAACTGGATAATAGATTCATTACATAATCTCAAGCACAATGGTAGTATTTGATTATACCTTCTGTGAATCCTTTAACCTTTTCATTTTTATTAATAAAATTTATATTCGGCCAAAGAAAAGATTATTAAGATATACTTTCCGTTTCTGTGCACGGGGCTGGGGGTGAGGTGACACTTTCTGTTTCCAGCAAAGCTCTTACCAAGCCGGAGCTCAGTTATGTACTAAAACAAAACACTTGTAAGTAAATATGATAGTTTTTTTTTTTTTTCATTTCGTGATTATACATCAATTTGGAACGCCATAGACCTATGGTTTAGTAGGCTGCTCTCCTAGTACTTTGGTTGTTTTTTTTTTTAACCTTCAAATTCGAGCATCCATCACGAACTGAGATTTACAAAACTAAACAAACCCACAATTTCAACATGGTTTTCAAACTTCTTTTTGACACAATCCTAAGCAATCCATAAAATCTCAGGAGAATATATATACTTCTCATCCGGACATAATTCTGTTGAACATGCCGATGCAATCCCAATAGATAGTTGAAGTGAGAGATGATTAAAAGCTTGAGGCTTACGTCCCTAAAACACATGAAGCCGTCGCACTTATTGACACAATATTGTGATGCCCATCCTAAACTGGACTAGTCACTCACTCAAATGTTACCAAGTGATCGTACATGCAAACCTATATATATATATATATATATATATAATCCGAAAAAACCTAATTTGCAAGCTGCTTTTTGTCAAGGCGGGAATCCATGAGCTGGGAGATTGCTTCAAGAAATGCAGACTCACTCATGCCTGGCAATAAGGAATCCTTGGCCTCCTGAATCATCTCCTCTATTTCAGATTCTGTGTTCATGTTTTTTCTGCACATTATGCTTCCGATGGCATAAGGGGTGAGACCCCTCTCAACCCCTTTCTTAAGCAGCATGGTTGAAATGCGAAGCACTCTCGCACAATCCAATGGAACATCCCACCCATAATACTTCAATAGTTCTATATCTTCCTCGGCATCCATAGATTTTATATACTCAACTGTATCAGGAGAGTAAGGTTTGCGTGCTTGTGGCCAGTAAAGCCAATCAAAAGTGCAATCTTCAAACTGCACAGAAATTGATTACAGAGTTAACAAACTTTCAATTTCAATCAACAGAATGAATTAATCAATACGAGAGAGAAGATATCAGGTGCTCACTTTCTCTGGCAGGCAGTAACCATGATCGATTGGAATGAGGATAGTTTTATCTGTTTCTGGTTCTTTCCTGTGCAATATGTTGCCAGAATGTCTGTCTGCATTAGCCATTCTGATGTCAAGCACGGTAATCTTATGCACCTCCTCCACAGGAAAAGCCCCTGATCCAATGTCCTCACAGTTACCATCGTTGTTCATGAACATCTGGAGAGACCCAACCTTCACATGTTTTGATGAACAGTCAAACCCTTCAGGGTGGTTAAATCCTTCGTGCAAGCACTTCACCATAATTGTGGGAGGAACACCTGCAAATCCCATGGCTTCACCTGATACCTCTCGTCTTCCTCCTTTTGGATGGTCTAATATGTATGCTGCTACTTCCCTCACTGCTCCTTCTCCTACCTTCGTCCCTATTTTCAATCCCTCCCCATTTGTTGATCTCTGAAGATCCCGCGGGTTGTTCACCGCCATTGGCTCCTCATCAATGGGCTTAAATACTGAAACATACTCTTGACCTGTTGCATCTTGCATGAAGTATGTCCCTCCTGTGCCCTCAGAGGACCTTACCGGCTTATTACCTTTTTGCAAACCATCATACGTCGAGTTTATCATCTCCCACAGGAAAGGGAACGTTTGGATGTTTGGATTCACAACTATTGGTTCCAATATGAAATCTACACCTTCAGCTTCTGTTGCTGACAGAAGTTTCTTCTTGTTCCCGTCGATACTCTCCTCTGAAGTGGTGGAGGCCACAACGGACAGTTCTAAATCTTTCTCGATGGGTGTGGCTCTAACCTTGGCTGATTTTTGAACCAATAAGTGAATCACGTCATCGTCACTCTTGCATACGTCGTGAAACATTCTCTGGTCATCAAGCCTCTCGCCGTTGCAGAAAAGGTCTTGATTCTCAAGATCAACAAAACATTTTCCCTTATTAATGCGTTGCTTGAGATACCCAACATTTCTATGGCGATCGATATGAAATTCGAATTCCTTGCCACAAGTGGTCCTGACGATGACAAACAGGAGATCGGAGAGCCGGAGAACCAGGTGAAGAACATTGCCACCGGTCACACCGTAGTCCTTGATGGGAGTACCGTGGCGGGCCAGCTCTCTGCCTTCGAAAACAAGCTTCTGCTTCTTAATCACGAATCCCTTGAATTTCTGAATCCTGAGTTTCACTGATGCTATGGAATCGGACTCCAACACACGCATAGGGGTCAGAGCTCCGTCCACGGCGAGGTAAATCAAGATGGATTTACCTGAACAAGGCAAGAGCTGGCCTTGGAAGCAGACAGATTCTGGACGAATCGGAGTACGAGCAACATCAGCAAGTGACATGTTCGGAATAATTTTCCGGCAAGGGTCTCAACAAACTGAAGACCTTTCAGGATTATAAACGGAAAACTTCCATCCACCACCACCAAGGTCTGGCGTCGAGGCGATCCGAAGACCCCGGATGAGATTAAAACCAACAAACACTAGGGAAACAAAGAAAAATTAAAAAAAAAAACAGAGAAAAGAAAAGAAAAGGAGAAGCAATACTTGGATGAAAAATTTAAAACATAGTCCTGAAAGTTGTAAAAACTGTGAAGGTGCAAGAATAGGGTGAAGAGAATAGTGAAGAGAATTAGGGTGAAGAAGCGATCATGAGAAGGGAAGGCGCAATCTCCCAAGAGGAAGCATGAAAGAATGGTCAGAATGAGGGTGGATTCTTACCGAAAGGAAAGAACCGAAGGTGAAGGCAGGAGGGAAGAGAGCTTTAATTACAGAAAAGAGAGGGATTAGAGAGGGAAGCGATGATTTCGGCTTGCAAGAGGAATAAGTGACAGAACGGCATTATCGCTTTTGGCCTTTTAATCAAGTTTTGACCCCACCCTTTGTACTCCCCAGTTCCTGCATGTATGTATATGTAACGGCAACATTTTCTGCCTCTGCTTTGCTTTCATTTCAAAACCATGCTCTCTCAGTACGCGTCACCCTCAAAATCGTTCTCGCCTTCCCATACTTCAGTGGCACCCACGCCTCCGCTCGCAATAATAAAACGCGCACACTCTCTGATTATGCGTATCCACTAAAGAAAAAGTTGTATATTTTAGAGTGCCTGGTTCAATTCTTTTACCAAAAGGCCTCCCTTTTGTTTTTTTTTTTTTTTTGAATTAATTGTTGATTTTAATAGTCCGTAGAAAAGCAACCGTGTGACTGTACCCTCCCATCCTGCACACACAACCTACCAGTTTCTACACGGAATTGATAGTCTTTGTTTTTTTTTTTTATTAGTTGCTTTGTATGAAAATTAATAATATTTTCTTAGTTCTGGTTCAATGGCAGGTATTATTGGAGTTGAGCAGGTTCACTGAACAAGACTGTGTGGATTATGTATTAAATTAAATGAGAACATGGTTGTCATTAGAAAAGGCGAACAAAAGAAAGGCGGGTTAGAAGGATAAGAGTATAGCCTGTTTGAAAAGCAAACATAATCGATTTCTGGCCTAAATAATTAATTTTGTGAAAAAAAATTACCCACGCATCCACAAAAGTAATTAATTAATTATTGAATCAGAATTATGTTTTAAAATAAGCTTTGAGAAGTTAATTTAATTTTACTATTAAATAATATATTTATTTCTTAAATAAAGTTTAGAAAATTTAATAATATTAATACATCTTTTCTAATAATTTAATTTTAAAAAATAATATCCTTAATGATAATTTATATAGTTAAAATTAATTTTAAAATACAGTATCTGATTGCATTATAACATACTCCCTCCATATATTTTATATTTTTAATATTTTAAAGTATAATTATTATTTTTTTTTAAAGTGCCTTATTGATAAATAATTTTATATTTATTATATAGTATTTAATAAGGATAAATATGAAAAGATAGAGTTAGTTTAAAAGTATGTAACTACTTTATTGGCAGTGAGATTATATTAAAAATACCTTATATTTTTTAATAGAAAAAGTAATCAATTATAATTAAAATTAAGTATATTTATCAATTATTTTTATAATTAATTATACTTAACTAAAATTCATGCGAGCTCGAGTATGGTCGTGAGATCACATGGTGACCGATAAAATGCAGCATCCCAAGTCCCGGCTCTGCACAAGATATTTAGTTGTGCTTCATTTTGCTTCATTTTGCATAATTGATTCAATCTTTCCCAATCATACCAACTCTTGTTAAATCAAAACAAATAATCTTTTTACCAAAAAAAAAAATGCTTATTAGAGGGGCATGATTGTACGTCAAAAGCACCTTAGGATCCGGCCACGTATCTCATCATTTAGACCTGACCTGCTCTCACTGACTTCTATTGATCTTTGGACTCTTTTCTCTTCCCTTTCTCCTTCGTGCGCCCATCAAAGTTGGTTTTTTTTTTTTAATATATCTTTAAATCTTTAAACGCTTGTACTTTATTATTAATGATTATATTTTTAAAATTTTTTATTTTTATTTTTCATTCCTTTGAATTTTAATATTTTATTTATGAAAGAATTTAAAATAATAAAAAATCAAAACACAGAAATTAAAAGTGTAAAAAAATACAAGAATTAATAATAAAATATAAGTAAAGTATAGAGATCTAAAGTTTTATATATATATATATATAGATATATATATATATATATATATTTATAAGTATACTATAGAGAGTAAAACAAAATACTGAAGTGTTATACTATAAAAATTTATTTTTTAAAATACTATACCTAAAATCATTCTTGCATTGAACTGTTTATAAAATTAATTATGCCATGATTTTTCAAAATATTGTACCTAAAATCATTCTTACATTGAATGATTTATAAAATTAACTACTCCATGAATGATTTTTTCAATATACATTTCTGGGTGAAACAAAACTTGTTTCTGGCACGGACAATTTCTAAACATTCCTGGCACCTATCAATTGACATAAATGATTTGTCTAATAATTTAGTAATCATTTAAATGAAAATGATGAGTAAATAATTGTCACTAAAGTGATTAAGAAACTATTATAAGGTGTATTAAATTAAAAATTATTAATAATAAATAAATAATTATTAGGTTTATGAAAATTAATAATAAATGACCGAGTTTTATGAATGAGAGGTAAAACCTCGCAAATGGTAACTTTTAATACCACATCTTGCTCTCCTTTTTATACACTGTAATTGTTATTGTTGTTGTGTGTTTTTCTCTTTTTGAGATTTAAGTATTTCATTTATTTACATAGTCAGCATGTTTAAATTAAATCAGGGTGATTTGCATAAATCTTTCCTATAATACAGTCTACTTCCTAAATATTGTATTGCATAATTAACACCCTAATAAAATTAAATTAACCAAAGTAATTTCTTAAATATTTACAATTGTTTATTTAGCTTTTATATTTAAGACCAAATGAAGTATTACTTGCATGTAATAGTCCTTTTTTTTTTTAAGTGAAACACACAATAAGTCTTTTTATATGTATTTAATCTTTTTATTGATAAATTAACTGTAATTATTCTCAGTAATGGAACCACGTTGTTCTCAGGGGAGGTCAAGTTCCGCCGCTCAATACTATTAAGATACCTTTTAGGTTTTCCTTGACTCATTAATTTATAATTCACATCCAGGGTAACTTCTACTATCTTTTATATAATCTATGTAATATACATGTGTGTTTGTTTGTTACCTGAGCCCTCTTCTTAGACCAAAAACATATAAGGATTTGCCATGTTTGTAACACACATTTTTTTTCACAAATTAATTATTATAAAAATTTAATATTTTATATAAATTAAGTTTCTTAATATGTCCAAAATTTAAATTTTCTATGTCATTCATTTGATAAGTTTTTCCTATATTATTTATATTTATTATGATTAATATTATACATATATAATTTCACTTTTTAAATTTTTTCCATTTCCATTTTATATAAGTTTGTGTAATTTATACTCTATGATTTCTAAAGTAATCAATTTACATAGAAATTTAATTAGCATATACATTAAAAATGAATAAAAATATAGAATATTGTATATTAATTTTAAAAATCTACCCTGCTTTACATTTATGCCGATTCTACCTCTAATTATTCCATAAAAAAATTAACCACGTGTCTACGTCTATGATTGAGGAAAACTTAATATATAAAACATTAATGATTAAATATCAAGCTCTTACTCATGATTTGACAAGCAAAATTAACTTTGATATAATATTTGATGAAAAGCCAGGCTTTATGGTAAATTAAAAAAATGCATTTAAGACTCTAATCGCAATACTAGCACCAGTAATCGAAGCAAAGAAATGGAAGAGAGAGAGTGAACTTTGAACACGAAATAAATGAAAGACCACGAAGAGGAAATGAAGCAGGCAGGAGTAATATTTATGTCTTGAATCCATTATATAGAGCGTTCAAAGCTTCACGTGATGACATGCATATGGTTAGAGATGTACAGACTTGATGATTGAATCTCACAGAAAAAACAAAGTAGAGATCTTCACAGTTAATAATAAATAAAATGTCACATAAATAAAAAAAAGTCAAAATCATTTACTCAATAAATAATATCACTTTTTAACTATAAAATTGTAATTGACGTGGATGAATTATCCACAACTACAAACTCATTTTCCATCTGAACAATTTTTAATGTAACATTTTAATAAATATTTTTCATAGTGCAATATTTAAATAATTTTTTGAAAAAATTAATCATTTAATTTTTATAATTTTGACTCAATTTCCTAAACTTTGAGTCATCACAATTCAATTTTTGAAATTTTAATTCAGTTGTAAATTAATTTTTAAACTTTACCTCTTGTAAGTTAGCTCCTAAAATTTCAATCTCTTAAATATTTTAAAAAATAAAATTATAAATATTTAAAATATTTTAAAATTTATTACTAATATCTTAAATTCCTAAACCCTTTCAATTTTTATAAATATTATAAATATTATAAGTTTAAAATATTTTCAATCTTTATAATTTTATTCGTTTAAATATAATGATCAATATTTAAGTTATTGAAACTTCAAAAATTAAATTACAAGACGTAAAGTTCAGTAATTAATTTATAATTGAGTTACAACTTTTGAAATTAAGTTATAATTAAGTTAAAACTATAAAGATTAAATAATTAATTTTTTATATAATGTTTTTAATGTTTATAGTGTATTAGAAAACAAAAATTTTTTTTGCACTTGTAACAAATTCCTGAAAAAAAATCAAAATATTAATAAAAAACAAATCCGAAGAATTTTCCGGAATCTGGACCCCAATCAACACGGCAATATATCCTCTCCTTTCTCTCAAAAGCTGCAAAACCCCTAATTATTGTTATTGCCATTAGTATTATCACTAACCTTTAGCAACACGACACTCCCTCAGGTGTGGTTTAACTTCCCAAGGTTGAACTCTATTTAGGAATGCAAAACCATCAGTCCACATGATACTCCTGTTTATTGCAGCCGATGGAAGGTCCATTACATCAAATCATCAAAACACACGCGTCAACTGATTTTTTCCTGTTTGATTTAATTTATGAAAAAATTTTATTTAAAACCCTTAACCACATTTAATGAAAAAGGAGGCATGTTAAATTTTAAAAATTTACTTTAGGCTAGAAGCATTAAAATAAAATTAAAATATTAAATAAAATTATTTTGTCGTCCCTCATCCCCTCCAATTATTTAATGAAATTATTTATTTTTTTATATAAAATTATTTATTAACTTACAAAAATTATTTGTATCATTATTAACTTTTATTTTTATTTTTAATGTTATAATTATTGTAAAATGAGATATTCATTTTCTTATAAAAAATTGCTCATTGACATATAAAAATTATTTGTGTCATTATTAAATATTAATTTTATTTCAACTATTGTGCATGGTAAAATAAGTTATTTATTTTTTTATACCAAAATACTTGTTGACTTACAGAAACAATTCATGTATAAAAATAAATAACTTCTTGTAAGTCATTAATCAAATTTTATGTAAAGAAATGAATAACTACAGTGTAAAATTAGAGGGGATAAAGGATAGTAAAATAATTTCACCCTGTATTTTAATTTTACTTTAATACCCAAGTGAATTTTTAGAGTTAAAGATGCCTTCTTTTTTATTAATCGTGATCAAATTGTTTTAGACAAACTTAATTTGTTGATTAAAATTATTGTCAAGGGAGTTTGGAGTAGTACATTTTCTGACCGTTATGGTCGGTGGGACGATCGCACATGTGTCAATTGTATGCTTTTTCGCCACCGGTTTCTTGCGCATACAATAATGCAAAATGATAAAAAAGAATTAAATGCAAATCACAACGAACAAAGGGCTCGAGAAAATAAAAGAAAGAATGGGCAGAGTGAAACTTGTTGTTTGTTATATTATTTTAAGTTATTGTTAGCAAAAGTAATTATTATTTAAATTAAAATAATCACTTATATTTATAATATTTAAATTTTAGTAGTTTAAAAATTTGCAGAAGGAAAATATTCTTTACTTACATCAAATTAGTTATTAATATTTATAATATTTAAACTTTATTAATTAAAAAATTTGTAGGAGTCAACTTGTCATTGCCCAAAAATTAATAATAATTATTTAAATCAAAGTAATCACTACTTATTTCTTTTCTATTTTAAATTAAGGGCATGATAGTTAATTCACAAATGACATTACTGTTGGTAAAGTCTTAAAAAACTTGAAAAAAATTATCACATTTTATAATATTTCATTATTATTTACATATCTTAAAGATATTTTTCTATAATAAACAAATAGATAAACAATAATTAAAAAGGACAAGCAAGTTTTCCCGCCACAAAACTAACCGCCTCTTTATGAATATGAAACGGAATTCTCATTCGATAGAACGTCAAAACACTATATACTGAACACCTAACACAAAGCAAAGGTAAAAACCTAAAAAAAAAGTCCACCCACGACTAACTAAATGGGGGCGTCGCAAAAATAGCAGAATTAATAGTCATATTATAAGTAAACTTAGCAAGACTATGAACCATTCCATTATCTTTCCTGTGCATAAAATGAAAGTTAACTAACCAATCTCTATTGAGTAAAAGTCTAACAGAGTTAATAATGTTTTGAAAATGATGGTAACCAAGATTGTCTCTTATAGTATTAGTAATAGCTTGTGCATTATCATAAAATACCTCCACAATTTTAAATTTATTTTGCCAACAAAGTTCAAGACGTCTAAAAATATTATAAATCTCTGCAATTGTAGGTGGCACTCATCCCAATCTCTGATTAAAACCTTCTATCGAAATGTCATTTCTATCCTTTAAGACACCACCATAAGCACTTTGACTGTCCTTGAGCGTCGATCCATATGTTTCCAACCTAATAGCTCGCATATTGTTTTCTTCTTGTTTCAAAAACAGACTACCTCTACCATGTTTTGTTTGGGCTAAAGTTTAAAAGCATGTTTTTTTTTTTAAAAATTATATATAGATCCCATAGAACAAGCTCATTTATAAATAAATTTTATAAAATTCAAAAATCACAATTACGTTCTTCAGGATTTAAGTGTTATTCAAAATTGAGATAAAAAGATAATAATGCCTTATTAAGCATATATTCATTACATCAGTTAAATAATTTACAACTACTTCATCATTAATTTATAATTATAATTTTAACTTTTTATAACTATAACTTCATATATTCAATAATCAAATTGATCATTCTTAGCTATTGAATATATGAAACTATATTTGTAAAAAGTTAAAGTTATAGTTGTAAATTAATAATGGAGTAGTTATAAATAATTAATATTAAACTTTGTTAATGATATATAATTGTTTGACAATTAAATATATGAAGTTATAGTTGTAAAAAGTTTAAATTATAGTCATAAGTTGTCAATAAAATAATTATAAATTAATTATTTAATTGATGTGATATATATTTAATAGGGGTATTATCATTTTGTTAGCTTAATTTCAAATTATATTCAAGTCTCCGAGATTTGGTTGTGGTTTTCTAATTTTATGAGACTTGTTAGTAAATAAATTTGCTTTTATACGACCTATACATAATTTTTCTTTTTTTTTTCCCACAAAATCTCAACAATTTTTGGGCGGTACGCAAAAATTATATACTGTGGCAAAAAAAAAAAATCTTCATATCATCTTTCTCTCACTCATCGCATGTAATGCGAGACATAAACTGTGCTACTACCTACAATTTATAAACAAAACAGAGATTCTATAAATTTTGTTTTCACTTCAATATCACGTGTCTTTGATCTGGATTAGTTTAGTTAACAACTTGTGGGCACCTTTTTAAGGATACACCTTCCACCAAAAATTTAATCACCGCTGCAAACTTATGACTAAAACTTGAAAGTTCTAAATGATCAGTGTTTAATATGTTATAAATTTTACTGGATGTATTCATCCTCGTTAAAAATGATAGAGACTAGAGTGTCAAGTTTAGGTGTGTAAATACTAAATGCTGAATTAGTCTCAACTGTAAGATATATTTAGACAAAATCTTACATCCTAATAAATTTCATTAAATACATTTAACAACTTTATTTTTTTAATACAAAAATATAAACTTTTAAAAATACCTTTTATTTAATATATTAAAAATAATAAAGGACGTAAATAAAATAAAGAGAGAGAAAGAGTAATATATTTAATACAATATTAATTTTTTAAAGTGTTTTATATTTTAAAATTTTAAATCTTTCCAAAAGTATGCTATAATCTGGTAAGGGGATAGATATGTAAGATCGTAATTTTAAATCGTGTATTTCATCTGTCATGGGCTGCTGAAAGTTAAAACTAAACCAACCCTCCCAACCTATACTCTCGTTCAACTGGAGATTGGTCCAGGAACCAATGGGCCTGAGCTCACTTTTAAATTATGAAATTTAATAAAAATATAACAATTAAAATTATATTTTAAAAAATATACTGTACAACTTATACAATTGGTAATTAAAGGAATGATAAAAAATTTTAATCTCTCAAATTTGTTTTTGTTATTGATTTAGTTTTTTAAATTTAATTTTTATCAATTTCATTCCTTAAATTTATCTCAATTATTAATTTGATTCTTATTGTTTAAATGGGAGATAAATAGATAATATGATTAAAATTTACTAACATAGATAAAGGAATATTGACAACAGCAATATAGATTAATGAAAAGAAGTATAATTATTTAGGTAGGAAAAAATGAATTTAAGAACTTTAAAAAACAAAAGAGCAAAATGCAACACAAGGGATTAGATTGATAACAAGTAAACTGATTTGAGATTATTTAGTTACATATATATGTCAGTTTATCAATATACTTTATCTATTAGATTAATTGGATAGTTAATTTGTGTTTCAAAATTTAAAGGAGTAATATAATAATTTAAAAAAACATAAAGGGTCAAATAATTAAAATTAAATTTGAGAGACCAAATCGATAATTGAAGTAAACTTGATGAAGTAAAAATTTCATTATCCAATAATTTTGATTATAAAAATATTATTATTCAGTATTAAAACCTTAACTTATAATTCAATATGTTAAATATTTATAACAATTAATAAAGCGTTATATATATCGCAGACGCGCAACGTGTATAAAATTGTTAATATATTTAATGGGTAGGAGATATAGAATTCAACAGGGAAACTTCGTCTTACTCATGTAACTCTTTCCCATTAGAAGTACATCCTATTTTCGTCCTCAAAAAAAGAAGAGAAACTTCATATCAGAAAGCGCAAGACTCTTATAAATTATGTTTGTGTGGGTACAAATAATTTATTATATTTTTAGTAATTTTTATAATATTAAAAAGAATTAATTATAATTTTGAGCAGTGGTAGTAAAATATTGTTGGACAAAATATTTTATTTCATTTAAAAAAGCTTTTTTTTTTCCCAGAAATTTTTGAAGTTACTCAGCATGTTATTTTCCAGTATAAAGGCCAGAGCCATTTCCCCGCCAAACTCCTCAGTCCTCATCAGTTATTCAGCTCCCTGATCTTGCTCTGCCTCTTAATTTCTCAATCGCTGAATCTGGAACTGCAACACAATGAGTATCACGGTTGTTGTTTCTTTTATCTTTATGTTAATACCATCCTTAGTTTTTGATGCAAGAGGTCTGCATTACCAATACTCTGACGAACTGTACATCGCTCCGTCAGAATCCTACATTCCCTCAATGTCACCTTCTTACGATTCTTCAATTTCTCCGTCTTCTAATCCCTTAGCCCCTGCCTTGTTCGTCATCGGAGATTCCTCCGTTGATTCCGGCACCAACAACTTTCTCGGCACATTCGCCCGCGCCAACCACCTTCCTTACGGCCGAGATTTCGATTCCCGCCAACCCACTGGGCGCTTCTGCAACGGCAGGATTCCCGTCGACTATCTTGGTCACTTTACATCTCTTTCTTTATTCTCGCCCCTTCACTTCTTTATGTTTCTTTTTATTTTCACTTGTTAGCTCTATAATGCTTGCTGGTTGTCAAGATTATAATGATCGGGCCCAATAGACCCTCGAAACCTGAAATAGTGGGGAAAAAAAAAAAAGAAGTTGCCATGTATTCTATCCGCACTTGACCGTCAAGTATTCTATACATTTGTCCAACCAATAAATCAAGTGAATCTTTATGGTGTATTCTGGGATGGCTATTATTGAATAAGTCGAAATCCGCATTATACATGCTGAATTGATCCCGTTTCTTAATTCTTTTGTTAAGATGGATGACAAACTGAATTTTTCTTAAATCTTTTTGTTCACTTTGGTACTAGCTCTGCGTCTTGGCCTTCCCTTTGTCCCGAGTTATCTTGGGCAGACAGGAGATGTGGAGGATATGATTCACGGTGTAAATTACGCTTCCGCTGGAGCTGGCATTATTCTCTCAAGCGGCTCAGAATTGGTATGCTCTCTCCTATTTTTCAACCCCGATGAATGTTCCATTCCGCAATCCAAACAAAGTTAGAAGTCCAAAGTTCACCTTGTGACGTTGCAATCACTGAGTGCAGGGACAACATATCTCCTTCAATCAGCAAATTCAGCAATTTAGCGACACCCTTCAGCAGTTCATTCTAAGTATGGGCGAGGATGCTACAACCAGTTTCATATCCAAGTCTGTGTTTTACATTTCAATTGGAATCAACGATTATATACACTACTATTTGCTTAATGTATCTAACGTGGATAATATGTACCTCCCATGGAGGTTCAATCAGTTTTTAGCATCTTCAGTGACACAAGGGATAAAGGTGTGTGCCTGTGTGTGTGTTCTACTTCTTCTCTTGGGGGCTTTTTACACTTTCGTAATTCCTTTATTGATTCTTGATACACTCAACCTGATGACACAGAACTTATACAACGTAAATGTCAGGAAAGTGGTGGTCATGGGACTTGCACCTATTGGCTGTGCTCCGCATTACTTGTGGCAGTATGGTAGTAAAGATGGAGAGTGTATTGAGCAGATAAATGACATGGTGATGGAGTTTAATTTCCTCATGAGATACATGATAGAGAAGCTTACCCAGGAGCTCGCCGATTTCAATATCATCTTCTGTGATGTTTTGCAAGGTTCAATGGATATTCTAAAGAACCATGAACATTATGGTACTACTACGAAGCACTCTAGTGTTTGTTTTAACTCTTAATGTCCTTCATAAATCACAAAATAAGCATAATGTCTAACTCAGCTTTATGCTTCCTGATCAGGTTTTAACGAAACTAAGGAAGCATGCTGTGGATTTGGGAAGTACAAGGGGTGGATCATGTGCTTATCGCCAGAAATGGCGTGCAGTAATGCTTCCAACTATATCTGGTGGGACCAGTTCCATCCAACTGATTCAGTGAATGAAATTCTGGCAGACAACGTATGGAATGGCCTGCATACTAAAATGTGCCATCCCATGAACTTGAAGGATATGATAATCCACAAGGACGAATAGCACTTACCAATTTATGTATAACGTAAATATGATTTACATTGTTCAGTTGGTTTTCTCCCCTTAAATATACAGGATACAGGATAACATTAATACAGATACTATTAATCTTGAGCTAGTGTTCTCTTTTCGCACGCTGCTCTGCTTTGTATCATTTCCTAGGAAATTGAGAATTAAGATCCCTGCAAATTCGTGTAGCAATTACTGAGTAATATATAGTTGAATCACATGTAATACGGCGCAAGCTTATGGTAAATGATTCTGTTTCTATGCACTGAGGTCTCCCATAGACACTTTATGAGATCATGTTTACGACATGAAAAAAGGCGTGTTATTAGGCTTATTACTTCAAGTATGGAATTGTCATATTTCTCAGGATGGATGGGTTTTGAGCTGCAAACTCTTCCCACTCCTCTAGATCGATCTTCCCGTCTCCTTTTAGATCTGCTTCTTTAAATGTCTATGCAGCATCAGAGGGGTGACTCAGTAATCAGGAAAATTAGTATACAACATTTTGCTTGATGCTTCATGTTGTGAATATAACTTGAATGAAAGCCAGGGAGAAGAAAAAGAACAAAAATGCAAACCTGATCAATTATGGCCTCAATTAAGTATTCAGAAAGAATCAAGTCCGACTCTCTTAGAAGAGCCAATACCAGCTCTCTTACCTTCATGTCCAAAAAAAAATAACTAAACATGTTTCTAAATAGAATAATCGTGGGAGATATATAAATCAAGTTCAATGTCCATGCTTGAAACCTAAATCTGGTGAGTTTGAAATCAAGAAATCTCCTCGTTTACCTCATCACGTTCAATGAAGCCTGTTTGCCATATATCATAGATTTGAAATGCAACTGCCACATTAAATATCAAGGACTTAGGAAACAAATTATGGAATGGAAAGCCCACGAATTCAGTCTTGAGAGGAACACAGTACAAGCTGCTTTTTGTGCCTGCGGCGCAACTGGATGAAAGACACTCAGAGCTCGAACAAACTCTCCAAATTCTATTACTCCGTCATTTTTTGAGTCAAACAAATGAAAAACCTGCCGGAAGGAGTTGTGTCAGATACCAATGTTTACTTCTTAAGCCACTATCGTACATTACTTTGCGAGGAAACTAACCCGGTCAGCACACAGACTCTGTACCTTGCTACTACCAAATAAGCACAGCCGAAACTCTTCCTGTATATTCAACGTTATATTCAAAATGTTATAGTCGAAGTGTGTACATACAACTTGTTGCAATCATTTTTACGATGTTATCCTGAGAGAAGTGTGATGGTGAACTTGTATTCAAACTTACTTTTGTGATAAGGCCGTCATCAACTGTGGAACTACTCAGCTCCTTGAACAACTCAGAGAGTCCTTCAATTTCAGATACGTTGACTGCGAAAAGAAAACATAAGAACACTAAATAAAATAAGAGCAAAAGGAATCAAAAACCCTCACAGCAGGTTTGGGTAGCAAGAACTGCTGGATCTTCATGGGCAAGACGCTGTTTGGAGCAAGTGCAGCCCATTGCTATTTTGTCAGGCTATGAGGTGTGTTTTATTCAAGGGAGGAGGAAGTTTTAATATTATTTCTTTTGATTTTGATGGAGGGGAGGAGGATGAAGGATTTTTAATGACTCTTTACTCAAAAGGAAATGAGAAGTAATAATTAATTTATAATTATATTTTTTACATATTAATTTTTAATTATCTACTTTTATTATATAAATTAATTAATTAATTTCTCAATTTAAATTAATTTTATATTTTCCAACAATTTACTTTTTTCCAATAATTTACTTCTGTGTAATAGCCTCTTTGACAAAAAATAAAAGTAAAAATTGTATATTAATTTTTTAAAAGAAGGATAGGATTGCGGCACTCTGCAGGAACCCCCATCTATAACCTAGGTTGCCGCTACAGTGCAGCCGTCAAAGTTAGCAACGTATGCAGTGTCAGAGACGGCGTTAGAGCCGAAGAACTCCATCCCACTTTCTCTGATAGATGAACGTCAAGAACTTCCTACTAGTGCTCCGACAAGTAACAAGCAAGATCTCTTATGAAGTTTCTGGGATAGGCACGGCGCCGAACACAGACCTACGAAGCAGGGGTTACTTGGAAAATAAAAATTTAAACGTATGCTACACTTGCAATATTCTTCACAATACATATAATAGACTTTAATATTTGCATTATTAACTGTTTTATTTTATTTTTTTGAAATGTTCCAGCATGACTTAAAATTTAATTGAAACATTGTGGTTGTATTGTACCCAATGTGTGTACTTGTGCTGCAATATAGACACAGACAAAGTCACAGTAAGAAAGTTAATAGCCTCGTGGCTTAGTGGGCATGAAGTTCACTTTTATTGGTGATAGGTTGCAGTTCAATCTCATCGGTTTCAAGTGTTTGACTTGTCCTATGTAGTAAAAAAAGTCATAAGAAGCAAATTGGAACTGAAAGAAGGGTAGGGGACTGTGGAATCCCATGCTTTGCTTCCACTAGTCTGGAATTTGTTCAAAGTGGAAATGCGCGGTGACTAAAATTTTTAGAATTCTCATGTACCGGTCAGTCTTATGTTCAATTTCAGTGTGGAATCTGATTCCAATATCCTTTTTAACCAGCTAATCTTTCAGTAATTGTACTCTCTTTGCGCTCCTTTTGACAGAGATAAAAAGTTTAGACCCTCCTTCTACTTACTAGCCCTATACTCCATTTAAAAATTACTATGAATATAATAAGGCCACATTTATATATAGAAATAAACGGTCCCAACTCCCAAGAATCACCAAGTCGACCAAATTGGTAAATATCTACATGTTATTGTAAAATGTATATTTACGGAAGAGATACTTTGGTTAATTAGTTTCCCAAGTCACATCTTGAAAATTCTTGAACCTTTCATATTATTTATGCAAGTTTTGATATGATTGAATAATGAAACGGCAAAGCAGGTAGAGATCAAGCAATCACTTATTGATATGACAGGTTGAAAACCAATAATTTAGAACTTTTGAAGAGTATGCAGCTGTACATTCGTAGGGAGGGAAAAAAAATTATAACTATATATTATCTCTTTTTCTTGAAAAAAAGTTTAGGTGAGTTGAGTCTGAGCGCTTATTAGGGAACAAATCACTTATCAACAAGGTTTTCATATTGGTAGCACAATTTAATCCCACGGTGTTATTTTTGTTTAGTATTATAACTATATATTCTATGGTGTTATTTCTATAATTGCAAAGGATCTAAATTTCAGTTCAAGTTAGTTTTGGTTTCAAATTTAAACATATTAATTCTCTATCAGCAATCCACCAGGCACGTTCATTGCCTTTTATTAGCAGTCGTCTTCTTCCAGCTGGGTGTTAAGAATAAAGTTGGTGAAGGACATGGTTACATCCCTGCCAAGAAGAACAACCTCTCATAAGTCTGATAATATGAACATTGAAATGCCAACTGATATGGCCAGGGAAGTCAAAGAAAAGGGTTGACTTTACAAGGTGACATGGCCTAAACTATGATATAAGAATCAATAATTAAGACAAAACTTAACCTTAGACATTGAACAGTCATCATCTTCAGAAGAGATGGATACTTTGCTACAAGTTCTCTCCACTCCTCTTCATCGATCTTTCCATCTCCTTTCGAGTCTGCTTCCTTTAAGGTCTGAAGTAAATTATTAAATCAAAACAATTGATACATCGTTAAAATCCATGTAAATGGGGAAATGAACAGAAAAAAAATTAAATTTTGTTTTGTATTTGTAACATGGTTAGAGCACCTTATCCACAATTGCTTCTGCGATATCATCTGAAACTGTTAGATCTGATTCAGCCAGAATAGCCAGGACCATCTCCTTCAACTTTCGGTGTTATGTTATATTCATAAAGAGGATAGAGAATTGAATCAGATCATTGACGTTTAATAGATCATTGATGTTTAATAATTAAAGTATTGTGTAAATGAAGGGGAAAGACAAAATTAAGTAGAAGTTAAACTAAGCATGAATGTTACATTAAGCAGCAACTAATACGAAACATAAACAACAAGTGCAACATCCTCAGAATTTTTTTATCCCCTCAAAGTTTTGTACAGTTGGACTGATGACCCGGCCTCTTTGGAACTTCTTATAATAATTCAATCTTCTTGTCAATTAAAGAACAAGAATCCACAAACTTGGTGCATTATAATTGGGATTTTAATACTGGAACCACTTTCTTCTCGATGCAAGATGGAACATGTTTATACTTGAGATCCAGTTTGCCTTGATGGCTGTCACGAGAACAATTTGCGAAGTTGGCTTAAAGGAATGTCTAAACAGATCAGCATATTGATGAGAAGCTTTGCTCCTTGTAGAAGCATTCACACAAATGCAATTGTTACTGTCAAGCAGTATGCCCTACTATATTCTGAAGAATATGAAGTACAACTTGAAGCTTGAGTGGTACTCACCTCATCACGCTCAATGTATCCAGTCTTCCGAAGATCAAACAACTTAAATGCAACTGTAAGAAATTGATGGTGTAATTAGTGGCTTAAAATTATAACCTCATACGAAAGTAGGAATGAGATAATTGAATGGACAATTGATTTTTCTGCTGAATAGTGATTATATCATACATGCAATCTTCAACTCTGTTGGAGCATTTGGATGAAAGATGCTCAGTGACCGCACAAATTCTTCAAAGTCAATTGCTCCATTACGATTAATATCAAACAGATCAAACACCTGGTTCAGGTATTTTAAGAAGCTAATTCATTGTTGTCACTAGGCATATTTAAAAAATAAATCTTCGTCTAAAACAAAGAGAAAGGAAAATCCATTAACATGTTCTTTTTCAATAACTCCTGGTGCAGTCTAAGCCTCTCAACTGTGATGTCAAAATCATTCATAATCCCACGGTTCAGATTCAGAGCCTCACACTCCGGGGCATCTTAAGCATTCATAATCCACTTAAGATTAGGGGGGAAAAACAATTTAGTGCAGTACACACCCTGTCTGCAAATAGATTCTCTTTCCTGCTGTTTTGGAAAAGTGCGAGTCGGAACTCCTCCTAGAGACAGAAATTTGAAGAACTTAGCATTCATCATATAAAACCCAAACGCAATCAGCATAACGAATAGCTTAGCTAATGGTGTGGTGAAAGATGCCAACATGTCAAGTCATTCTTAATGAATGATAAATCCTTTAACTTGGTTATAGTAAGTATGCACAGTGTTGTGATAATATAACGCTGCCCATGCCAAGGGATTATTAGGATCAAGAAAGAGTTATGCAATATTTGGGAGGTGGAAGAATGTTTTCTACAAAGAATATGGGAAATTCACCTCTCTCATTTTCTTTCTAGGTATATTTCTCATTTCTTTCTTAAAGAATATTTTTGTGTACCAAACACTGCCTTAGCATTTGCATATTCCAGAATCTGTTTCTTGGTTTCATCACATGCTTGGTTAAAAACCTGTTGAAGTAGTTTCTAGTTTCTTAAATGGGAATACCTTGTGAATAAGGCCATCATCGACAATTGAACTGCTTAGTTTCTTAAACAAGTCAACCAAGGCCTCCACTTCATTCACACTGACTGTCAAATGGTAAGGACCATTTCAGGGATACAGACATGGAAATTAGAATAAATCTCAACGGTTTAGCCCGAAAGCTGGCTTGCAATCATATAAAACATCAGGCAACAATAATTGCATACAACACGGCGACCATATATAACGTCATTGTCTTCTAGCAACATGGCATGTACTGTCGTTTTGCTAATATAAGAAAAGTTGACAAATTGCATAAACATATTAGAGGGATTGAGATGGGGACAACACGTTAAGTAACAACAAGCACCAAAGTAGAATGAAAAGACTGTGGCTAGGAAGTCAGTAGAATAAGTGAATAACATTGGCTATTGAGTGACAAATGTGGCGCAGGACAGTGGTGTAAAATGACACTTTTATAAACCAATGATAGCAACCAGGCCAAGAAAACAATAAACAAAAGACCACTAACAAAAGTCACAGACAAGTACATTATATTCCCTCCAATTCTAAATGCAGGAGCTACATAACTAATTTACAGCGGTTAAGAAAATTAGTTAGGTTAGGTATTTGTAAAAAAAAAAAAAAAGATGTGTTGATTTCTCAAAAATACCCCTTTAATCATTTGCATCGCAAACCAACTTATTGATGGAAGCCCTCCTTCAATATGTGCAATCAATAGGATAATTTGGAGAAAAACAATAAATTTGAGGGACAAAATAGATTGAGGTCTAATATATTAAAGCAAGCTCCTCAACTAGCTCCTATATTTATTATTTTGGACCGAAGAGAATATGAAATTTTCATGAACAAGGTTGTATGTCAAATGAACTGCAAGACAATGATTGGGTAAACAGTATTTGTACTCACACCATGTCTGTGAAGAAAGAACCATGTACTGTTCGTGCTCTGCCCTTTTTTTAATCTTCTTCAAGCAAAAACAGCTCATGGAAATGAACAAAAAGTCAGCGCAAACACCACGTGAAGTAAATTCAGTCTAACACAAAGCTGCTAATGAACGATCCTGCAACACACCAGGGAAATATGCATGCACCAGTTTAAGAGCAATGCCACTTAAATTTTTTATGCACCAGACTGTAGTGAAGATGATTAAGTGGAACATTTTCACACACAGGTGAGCCTGATATAATCTTCCTGAATGACCTTTGGTCAAACAGGCATTTATGATTATTTGCTCTTGGAAGGAATTTCAAAAAGAAATCAAAACACAAGAAAATATTTCCTCAGTATTACACTCCTTTCCATTCCTCTGTCAAACATGCGGCCAGGGAGTCAACCCGGAGGTAAGTTGAGAGATCCATGAAAAATCTTGATAACATCATGTTCCTGATTTCATTTGAACCGTGTCATTAATTAATACCTCTGAGCCCCTCACTGATGCACTACCTCAAAACTAATAAACCTATCTCACATGATCAGCTAGAAAATTTCATGAGCAAGAGGAAAAAACAGGGTAAAGATAAAAAAAAAATCTCAAAAGATAGCTATTCAATTCAAATAACCACTCTCCTGGAGGATAGATACAATTCCAGGTCAACTCAGCAAGTATACAATAGTTAACAAGATTCACGGGGTCAGAATATAAGCCAAAACATCAGAACCTTGTAACAATAATAATATCGTATGAGTGAAAATAAGACAGTTGATACCAGAGACAATCCAGTTGTTCAAGTATTACCATTTAGGAACGCTAAAGAAGGAACGAGAAAAGTCAACGCATAGTTGATATAACTATAAACGACTTACAGAGACCATAAAGAAGTCGGCATTCTTTCAAGTGTTCAACTATAGGAGGAGGACAGTTTCATCTGCAGAATTGAGACCCGTGTAGTGACAAGTCTGCCTCTGTTTTGGCTTTTAGCTTTTGCTTGTCATGTTCAACGACGTAGCTCACTCCCCTAGTTTTACGGAAAAACAGTCTCCCCTTAAAAATATAAGATATTTTTTTAAAAATTGAATATTAAAAAATATGAGGAATATTTAATGTTTTGAGATAAAATTAATATATTTTTTTAAAATGCCTATAATAAATAAATCATGTTATATTTATTTTAAAGTGAAACACCTTATTAAATAAAATTAACTATGAAAAAATGGTGTTGGTTTAAAGATATATAATTACTTTATTAAGAGATAAAATTTAATTAAAAATAGTTTATATTTTTTTGAAAGAAAGAGAGTAATGCTTAATCGACTGTTGACTTGCATCAATACTATAGCCCCGGACGAGTAGTTGGAACTTGGGAGGAATCACAGCCACGTCTAACCTCACCGTTCATGATCCATTGCTAAAAAAAAACTTTTCAACGCCGTCAGGGTATACTTGGAATTTGCATGCTGTCTTTTTTTTTTTTTTCAAAGTAAATAATAGGATGATGACACTTTTTTCAGCCTTTTGAATTAATTTATATTGCGTGTCTCTTTCAAGTTTCAACAAAATAAATGGTTTAATGCAATTTGGTTGGTCAACAGTGAATAATGATACTTGACAATTTCAAGTGCTTGCTGCGAGAAGGGTAAGGTGTAGTTATTTTTGTTCCATGTACTGTTAATCAATAACTTGAGTGTCAGTTTATTAAGAATGCCTCATCATCATACCTAGTTTGTTTTGTATTCTCTTCTCCTTTAAAAAGGCCAAAGACATTGTGTTTCATGAACGAGAAATAAGAACCAAACTTGACAGGTCACTTATTCAAATCTTTTTTCATAAAAGTTCAAGAAAAATGATAATTTTTTTAATGAAACCAAGCTTTGAAATCTGGCCATGAAAAATAAGCTGGGGGCTGTTTTTATTTTATTCCTAAAAATATAAAATATTTTTAATTCTTAAATTGAATTTAAATTTCAGAATATATATTTATATTTTAAAATTTTATATTATTTATTTTTAATGATTGAACATTATAATTTGCATTTTAAAAAATATAAAATATTATAATTGAAAAATTTAATAATTTAAATTTTTAAAAAATAAAAATAATAAAAATGGACTTATGGGCCTAGTTCTAAGTCTTTTTTAATATGGGCAAGATTTCAAAAAATAATTGATTTTAAAGTAACTGGACTTATGAGCTTAAGCTCATATGGGTTGAGCCTAAAAGAGTCAAGCCCGCTTATTTCCCTGCTTTAGACCAAGCCTTTTTTTATTTTTTTTTTAAAATGGCCCTTAGGAGTTAGTAAATGACTAGGGCTACACTAAGGACAAATAGGACGGAATTTTAATGTAATATGAAGCCTGGTCTTTTTTATGAAAATAACTAAGTTAGGTAACTTATGGTTTGGTATGGTTCTGATCTAACCTGAAGTTGAGTAGGATCAGATTTGATCTATAAGATTGGAGACTAGTGTCGGTAATCCAATGCCTTACTTTGTTTTTCTCCCATTTTTTCCTCTATGAGATGCAATAATTTATTTTAACCTAATAACAAAAATACTTATAATCATATAAAATTTACCATAAAATATTAGAAAAAGTAAACAACAAATCCAGTGAAATTAATAGTAGCCACTTGAACATTTCTATTTTAAACCCAGATGTACAACCACATCATTTAACAGTTTAAACGCATAACAAAAAAGAACAATAAATCTTAATATGACCACACAAACTAATTAAATTCACACATGCATGGAGTGAAGATGTAATAGCCTTAAACAATCTATATATATATATACTTATTGAATTAATTATATGAATATATTTTAGTTATGTTAGGGATAATTATAACAATAAGGAGTATTGGTAGAATGGAAGAATGTATGCCAAGTAACTGAAGGTTTCCAGTTCGAATCCCTGATGCAACAAAAAGGGAATTTTATTTTTTTTAACTTCTTTAAAATTACGAAATTGCCCTTTTCTAAAAATGATAAAAGCTTCCTTCTCTTCCTCGGCGATTCTAGAAAAACAGAGAGAGAATGAGAGTCTGAGAATATGACCGACTTAACCTTCCTATACCTCTGATCTTTTCTTGTTTTAGAGATCACCGACTCATCTTCCTTGTTGTTCACGGTGGTGGCCGGTGCAGTCGAAGCTAAAGTTTCTCTGGTTTGTTTTTTTTCTCTGTGTTCCCTGTCCTTATTATCATTCTCTGTCTGTTTCTGGCTGTCTTCATTGAGTTCGGTCGCTGCTCGGTTTCTATCGTCAGTTGGGTTGCTGCCACTGTGAGACTTAGTCGTTGGAGCTGGATTCATGATTCTTTTCTTTCCCAGCTCAACTGTGAGCTTTATGCTCTGTTTTACCGTTACGTGTTCCCTGTTTCTGCATTTTTCCGTATGCTGTGCAGTCCGTGTGTTTTGAGCTGAAAAATCACAAAGCATCAAAACAGAGTAGAGCTATTATTGTAAGCTTGTATCGGTGCTGTGGAGTCAAGCTCCTTTCGTTGCTGTGAATCGTGACAGTGTTTGGATTATATCTCCCCTGTTCAGCCGACTGTTTCAATTTCTTCATCCTGGTTTTCTGTTGTGGTGAGTCAAGGTGAGAAGGCTTCACGTTTAGGCTTCTTTTACTCAGTATATATGTGAACTGGTAACAGAAAAGAATTTGGCTTCTCTGTGACTGTTTATGGCTATACGTGGCTGAAAAAAAAAAGAGAGAGAGAGAGAGAGGAGTATATATATTTTGCATGCTTCTTGTTACTATTATGCCGTGCTGTTATAGGAGGGAGAAGATTCAAATTTAAGTTGGAAGTTTGTTCAAAGACTTGCTAATTATGTGTGTGTGGTCTGGGTCATAATTTTATGGGCTAAATGGATTTGAGTTAAATTGAATATGATTAAAGAAACTATTAAGGTAAGGGAGGAGGAGAGTGATTTGGATAATTAATTTAATTAAGTAGAATTTATGCACCTAAAGTAATTGGTGCAAAACCTATAAAAATAAATGTATATATATGGGGAAGGTTGCAAGTATGAAGGATAAAGTTTGGTGGGAGAAGTATATAAGTATACAAGCTATGGAATCATGAATGGATGGTTTAACTAAAACGAAATTGAGGGGGGGACTAGTGATGTTAACGATAACACTTGGATCAACTCTAATTATGATGGTGATTGATTTGGAATTATGTTAAAAATTTCATTTTTTATTTATATATTTATTTATTTATATTCTAATAGGGTGCGCTGAAGAAAGGGAACCTGACCAAAATTGAAAGAAAGGATATCTTTAAAAATTTTGAAGCTCCGACGAGTAAGTGAATAGCATTCCATTTAATATTTTATCTTTATTTTAATAGCCTCTTCCTGAATTATTTTTCTTATGAACTATATTAATTATGAAAATTATAAGATATCAGTGAAAGATAAACGAGTTATGATATATACATTCATTGATTCTTACAAAGATATTTCCAAGTTTGATGGAAGTAATCTTGTATGGTTGTTAAACTTTGAAATTTATTGGATACTCGATTATTACAAATTTATGATTTTGACAAACGTTGAGATTTGGCACAATTCATGCGAATTTGATTTTGGAAATGACAATTTAAATTCAAAATAATCATTTCTCTCGCATGTTGAAACGGGATTTCTAAGAGAACTTCACACAGAACACTGTTGCTAGCGGCAGTTCCGTTAGCCCGTAGCGCGCTGTGGTTAAACACTAGCTAGTTTGTTCGTGAGTTTTATTCTCACGTTTGGTATTCGTGGGCTTCGTACCCGCGTTTGATTTCGTGGCCTGAGCCACGTTTGGTTACTTACCCTCGTGGGCTGTGTGTCCACGTTTGATTCGTAGCTCCGGCTGCGTTTGGTTATTTACCCTCGTGGACTGGTGTGTCCACGTTTGTTTTCGTGGCATAAGCCGCGTTTGGTTATTTACCCTCGTGGACTGAGTGTTCACGTTTGTAACCTGTTCTGTTGAGTTCTCAAAATTTTAAATGTTGATTAATATATGTTTTCGAAATTTATTCGGTGTTGACTAGTAATTTGTATTACTTCGAGTTATATGAGAGCAAATGGTTTCTTTAAGCATGAGAACATAAATTGTTCTCTACTTATTCTTATTTTTCAAATATGATTATAACTTATATGCTTATAATTTTGGTGGAATTACTTTCAATTATTTGACACCATTATTAGAGACTGTCAATTTAAATTTTAAGAATTTTATCATGGGAATGCTATTCACTGGAAAAATTATTTGGCTTCAGATTGGTTAGCTGACGCCGATTCTACCAGCGACCTCAAAAAGGGCAACTAGCTACAGTGGGTGGATATTTTGATTGGTATTATTGTCTTTATGTAAATATATAATTTGTATGTCCTTTTGATTTGAGAGAAAGAATAGATGCTCCACATAGGTTGTTGATAAACTTTATTTTTAATCTGTATATGAGTTGTTGGCTGGAAGGAGCTACGCTCCTGATTTATACTGTTATCTGTCAGAATTTTGTTGTAGAATTTTCGGGAGATCCTAGTTACAGGGGAGGTTCTGCCGAAATTTCTACAAAAATATCGACACTTTTTTTTATGATATTGAATCCAATAAGTTATTTTAATTCTCATAGGATTTGATTAAATTTTGTTCCTTTCTTTTGTAAAATGAAATCAAGGTTTATTTTAAGGCTTACGGGAATGTGTAAGTGACTCATACCCGTGCCGGTCACCCTCTATTTTAGGGCGTGACAGAAGATTAAAGAGTCAAATAGAGGGTCTCTTAGGTATTAGGTTTTCTCTCTCTTAGTTTCTGTGCTACTTGATTTCACTTGCTCGTAGAGGATTCTCACGATCAAAAAACTCCACCGAATCGGCCATTAGATGTGCTAGCCTTAGACAACAGGAAACATAAGAAGAAGAAGGATACTGGTATTAAAGAAGAAGAAGCTATTATGGATGACCCCCATGAATGAAAGTGCATTGGAAGAAGTGGGTAAAACCCCAGTGCAAGCAACCCTCGAGATGATAACAAAGGAAAAGAGTCAAACTAAAGAAGAAGCAGAGAAGGTTATTTCTTACAAGGACTTGCTGTTAGGATTTAATGGAGTTGAAAATGCTGACTTAACTAAGGATGAAGATGATCCCTTTACTAAAGAGAAAGTGCACTAAGATTTGCTAGAATCACCTAAGGAGGTCAAAAAACTAAAGGAAATATTCCCCATGATCCCTATTACTCAAAAGGAGTATAATGATTAGTGTAAACCATGTAATAATTCTCTAGTTATCACAATATTAGAAAAAAAAGTTCATTTGTATCATCTTAAATACCTTCTTAGTAGAACATGGGACATCTATGACTTTGATTTAGTTGATTTGGAAAATAACTACTTCATGGTTACTTTTAAAGAAAATAGGGATGGATTGCCCAGTAAAAAAAGGTTCTATGTAAAGGTCATTGGGTGATCAAGCAACACTGTGTTCTGGTTCAAAAATAGACTCCATATTTTGAGCCTTTCAAAAACCCATTGGGTAGAATAGTTGTATTAGTTCAAATTCCCAACATTCACCTTTAATGCTATAATAGGAATTTTATTTGGAGTCTTGGCTATAGGATCGACAAAACCCTCAAAGTTGATCTAAATAGCCTCATGGATGCTGCTGAGAAGAACTCTAAAATGAAAAGAGGTTAGTTTGCTAGAATTTGTGTCAAACTCAATCTGTAAAAGAAATTAGTGCCCAAGATCGTTACTGTGGGAGAAATTTTTAATGTCATTTATGAAGGACTAGGCATGATTTTCTTTGCATATGGTAGATATGGACACAGAAGAGAAAAATATCCATGGAGATATGCAGAGGAAAATAAGCATGGTGAATAACACAAACACACACCTATGGTGGTCAGGTCGTTGGAAGTTCTATCATTGAATGAAAAAGCAAGTAGTGCCGTGTTTGGTATTTAGTTGCTGTCAAGACATAAACAGTTTACATAGGTCTCAAGGCGAGAAGGTAGCAGAGGTTATGGGTATAACACAGCAAGAAAAGACCAGTCTTTTAGAAAAGAGGAAAAAATATCCTTTCATCACGATTTGTTGTTCTTATAGACATGGGTGAGGAAAATGATGTAATGGAGCCTGAAGACCTTTACAACAAAGTAGGTCATGTTATCGCTACATGTAGTAATAAGGGTAGAGTTCCTTACAATGGGAAAAATGCTTTGATCGTGTCTTCAAGCCAACATGTAGGCAAGAGAAATGAAAATAGAGGAATGGCATCTGGTAAGCAGAAAAGTGGGTATAAATTAAAAGGTAAGGAGAATGTCAAAGTTTCTCAAGGAAATTTGAATGAAAGACCCCAAAATAGGGTGAGTAATGGAGATATTCACCATAATGAAGCCTTTAATAAAGACAATAAACAAGCACATAAAAAGAGGAAGTAGGCCATGTACGCATATAGTAGTCTAAGGAAACATGAACTAATTTGGCTAAAGTAATAAGGAAAGCCTAAACTTAATAATTGTCTTTATTATAAATGAAAGGAGGTTCAAAAGCTTAGATAAGCCAACAACACTTCCATAAAATGTTGGGCCTTCGAATATTCACCTAAGAGATGACAAAATTATGTCCAATAATCAGTCCAAAAGTCTTAAACCTCCTAACCCTTGTTCTATGAATATAGTGGCAAAAAAGAAGTCATCATTAACTAACGAGATGAATGTTGGACTTGATATTGAAATACCTCTCTTGGAGTAAGATGAACATGTGCACAAGTAAGAATTTCCTAAGCTTATATTTTGCTCATATTATTTCTTATGATAGTTGCATCTTGGAATTATCGTGGGGCTAGTTGTCATTCTTTTACTTCTTTGATTAAAGAGATTATATCAAAGAATAAAATTAACATTTTATGTCTTATGGAAACTCATATTAGCGGGAACAAAGCTGATAAAGTAGTGAAAAAATTAAGCTTCTTTGATTGGATTAGTTTAGAGGCCACTGGTTTGCTGGGGGGATTTAGATTCTTTGGAGTGCTTCTGAATTCTCGATTGGCTATATCTATTCTAATGTTCAAATGATTTACTGCATTATTACTGTTGTATAAAGCCATTCTTCAATCTTTATCACTTTTGTCTACGGAGATACTTCTATATCTAAAAGGAAGCTTCTTTAGGATTCCTTGGCTAGTGTAGCACCTGTGTGTCATGGTCCTTAAATAATTATTAGTGACTTCAATACTTTCCTGTCCCTTGAAGACAAAATAAGGGGTGCCAATAAACTCAAACCTATCCTGGGTGAATAATGCAGCTTTTTGGAAAGACGGTAAGAGAGCAACAATGTGATCATTGCACAGGAGGCCATATATAGCACGCGTAATAAAAGAAGTAAGAAGTCTTATGTGGCTATCAAAGTCGATATGGATAAAGTGTACGATTAACTGGATTGGCATTTAGTTGAAAATACTTTGTATAGCCCAGGAATTCATTATGACTTTATTAAGATTGCCATGGAGTATTTGTCCTCTAAATCTATAAATGTCATATGGAACGGGGAAGAAGTTCAAGCATTCTCATCGTCAATAAGAGTTAGACAAGGGGATCTTTAAGCCCTTATATTTTCGTGCTATGTATGGAATGTCTTGGTCACCTAGTTAGGGCCCAATGTGAGGAGAAAAAATGGAAGCCGTTGAAGTTTTCTAACTCAGGCCTGACTATTTCCTACCTATTCTTGACCGATGATCTTTTCCTATTTGTTAAGGTTATTATAGGTCAAATGGAAATAATCAGACAAGTTATTGTTACCTTTTGCAGTATCTTTGGCCACAAGATTAACTTAAGCAAATCTAAAATGTTCTACTCTAGAAATGTTCATTTTAATAAGGAATTTATACTTAGTTAGGTGCTAGAAATTTGTCTCACTTATGATTTGGGTAAGTATTTGAGGGTACCTATACTATAGTCTAGAGCTATAAAAAGGACTTATGATCATATTGCCATCAAAATAAGGAAAAAGCTCTCATCTTGGAAACGTAATTACCTTAACCTGACTGGTAGAACTATTCTCATTAAAGTCGTATTATTGACTTTGCCATCTTATCTTATACAAACTATCCTCCTACCTAAGGACATGCTATATGAGATTGAGAAGATTAGCCGGTCCTTCCTTTAGAGTTAGGAAATTGATAAGAAAAAATATGCATCTTATTGTGTGGGATATTGTCAAGGAGGATAAAGAAAATGAAGGTCTGGGTATTAAGGATTTGTACAAACATAACAGAGCTTTTATAATAAAGTTATGTTAGGGTCTTCTTACAAAGCCAAATACTCTTCGGGTGAAATGTTCATGTGCCAAATATCGATGTGGGGTTAATGAGATGCTTAAAGTCACTAAGAAGTCTAATTCTTCTCGTATTTGGAAGGCCATGACCATTATATGGGAGGACTTCAATAAGGGTGTGGGGGAGTAGATTAGGAACGGTGAGACTACCTAATTTTGGTGGGACCTTTGGACTTAGCTTGACTAACTACTAATAACATACGTAGACAAAAATTTTCATGACATCACCATTGGAACTATAGGCCCTGTTGCACTTGTGGGTGGTTAAAGAAATATGTGCTAAACAAACTCCTTGTATTGACGAGGACGATTTGTTTTATTGGAGATACACTAGTGATGGTAGATTTAGTATTAGATCGGCCTATAACTTTCTTCATATCTCTAACAGTTTACTGGCCCCTTGTGGAAATAACTTTGGCGATAGCCCATCTAAGAGAATGTAAAATTATTCCTCTGCCAATTGATCTACTAAAGACTTCTCAATAATTCCCTAAGAGCCCAGAGAGGTCTTTCTAACGATGCAAAGTGTCCTTTCAAGTGTAATAGTGAGGAAAATATTCTTCACATTTTGAGAGATTGCTGCGTGGCCAAAGAAGTATGGAAACCTATTGTTTCTCCTAACCATTATATGTCTATTCTTCCTATTGATAATTTACAGGCTTGGATTTGAGAAGGCACAAGGAGACATAGGGGGAAAACATTCTTTAAAAGATGGCCATAAATCAAAATCTTTTGTAATATATGTTGGATACTCTGGAAAAATAGATGTAGTAGAATTTTCAAAGGCAAAGATAATACAGTAAAACAAATTCTTCATTTGGTCTCTTTCAACTTAATTGAAGATACTAATAAAGGACGATACAAGCACTTGGTGATCAATGAAATCTAGAGCAACAATCACTTTTAGATCGGACCTCAACATGACTTTGTTTGTGTAGACATCGATGCTTTAATAGATATCCTAATCAAGCAACTCGTGGTTGAATGATCCGAGACCATGAAGGTCATTGGATCCTGGGTTTTAAATGTAGAATGAATCCTACCACTATCTGTATGGCATAACTAATGGCAATCAACTTGAGTTTGGGAATTTGTAAGCAGCATGGATTTAACAAGATCCAGCTTTTTACTGACTCCTTGGAGGCTATTAACACCCTGTTTTGAAATAGTAGAAGGAATTATGATTATGGTGGCATCATTAACTTTACTAGAGAACTCATTTGTCAATATTAGGAATTAGAAGTTAACTACTAGTATAAAGAATGCATGGAATGTGCAGGTCAGTTAGCAAGGCTCAGTCATTCATCTACTTATTACATCGCAACATACTTTGAAGCCCCGCCTAAGTGCGAATAGATCTTAGCAAATGATTATGCTAATAATATTTAGATTATTTTAGTTTGTATTACTTTACACGTTTAGCTTGCCTTGTTATTAAAAAAAAAAAAAAGTAAAAAATTGAAAATGATGAGAAAATGGTGGCTTCAAACTATATTAAAAAAATTTTAATTAAAATAATTTTGTACGACCAAATTAGATCAAGTGATCTAACATTTTGGTGCTCTGTTCAGTCTAACTGCCAAGTTGAAGTTTATTTTTTTTTGGTCTTTTTAATTTTTCAGGTCCATTTATTTATAGGACCGGATGGGATGCAGTTTGTCTGAGTTGGATTTAGTTGGTGGGAGATCCAAAAAGACCCAAAAATCCATTTATTGTGCAATTGCGCGTTGTAGTTTTCAATATCGTGGGATGTCCCTGAATTAAAACTCGAGTTTGTCTGAGTGCCCTTGCCAATATCAGTGTTTGGTTGGGTCTGTTTTTCCGGTAGGGGAACCGCAGCGAAGCCGAAACGCCCACCCAGATTCGTCGAAACGGGGCTTTGCCAAACAATCGTAGGAATTGGGGTGGGGTTAGGGCTCCGAAATTACCATTTCCCTTGATAAAACAGGTTACGTATTTATTGGATTTTCCTAATCGATTTCCATCTGTTCTATTTGAATTTTTTTGGCTTCTCTGCTCTCTCTTCATAATTTAGTCATCTCCCATTTTCACAAAAATCAAGCCTTCTTTTGACCATGTGTCCTTATCATCACTATTAAAACTGATTTATAACTTACAATATCGTGTAGATTAAATTTTAGTCGGAAGTCAGCTACTTCAATGGAAGCGGATTTCGTGTCCAGTGGCATGCTCATAGAAGAACCCTCTGAGGCTGATGACAATGCGAACACTGTAAACTCGACTGCCCTTTAGGATTTCACATATTTATTTCTTTTTCCCTAAGTTACGAAGCTCGGGCACTTAAGATATTTGAATTATGTTGGATACTTAAAATTCTGTCGTCTAGAAGTCCCTAGCGTGAGTGTCCATGCTTTTGAGCTCCTCAGTTAGCAGTTTAAGCTAATTTTGGCTGTGAAATATGTAATTTTCAATTTTGACTGGTGTCAATCTGTGTGGCACTAGTGTCTTTAACTGTTTCTTCTTCTTGCAATCACCGGTAAAAACCAATGCCTTTTCGATTTGGTGAAAGTGTAATAGACGGGTGTTTTGGAACATCATTTAACGGGCAACGGCAAGTTATTTATCCCCCACTTATGTGGCTCAAACGATCTGAAGAATACATGTTCCTTGATTTGTTCAGATGCTTCTCCACCCATCCTAGTTGCTTATTTTATTACTCAAGAATGAGATGGTGCTTGTATTTGCTGATGTCTAGTTCAGCTGATAAAACACACCTCTCTGCCAACCTTGGAGCCAAACTTATGCTTTCTCAAACTAATGAAACTGATAACTATTATGACTTTGTATAGATGAGGTGATTTCTCTTCAGCTTCTATGATATATTCTGGATGCCATAGCTATTGCAAATAATAACATAGAAACAGAATTTTATACTTACGTCAGAGCATGCAAATTTTCAGAATAGCATTGGAAGGTACAGCAGCAAGAAAGGAGTAAAAGATAGACAATACTGAACTTTCATATCTTTCTTTACATTGGGGATTATTCCTGTCATATATTATATGTATCTATGGCATCTCTTCGGAGGTCTCTTATGATTTCAGTTTATGCCAAAAGCTTTGAATTAATTATTAGTTTTTTGAAATTAATGTTGACAAAAATATAAAATCTATAGCAACTGCATTTCTCACAAGCTCTAAATAATGTCAATCATTCCTTATACTCCATGCAATTCACTGGAGGTCCACCTGGTTAAGATTTAAATCCTATTCAAGTTTGAATTTTATTTGTAATGTAATGCTAATAAACGAAAGATATCAAACAATCAGTATCTTGTCATTGTCCATGCTATTTGACTGATACATAAAGGGGGTCATCAAATTATAATTGCTTGGTCACTTGTGTTAATATTTTCATCTGAATACTTGATATTTGTAATTATCAGGATAATTTATTTATTGACGGGGAAAGATGTGGAATTTGCATGGATATTGTCATTGACAGGGGAGTTCTGGATTGCTGTCAACACTGGTATGTGTTTTCTTCCTTTCCTCTTGAAGTATGAACTATATTATCTGTGATGTTGTTCTACTAGTTCTTTGGTAAACTAAACAGATAGAGTGGTTTTTCTTTAGAAGATAGAGCAATTTATATGTATTTTGATGGTCACCTTTCCATCCCTGCCTCCTTGAGTGGTGTGAAGGCGAGTGAAGTTTGGTGGGAGATAGTATAGGGATAGGTTTTGTGAGGGAAATGTTTAATTTCTTGTTCGAGACACATTTGGTTTTCTCGTTGTCGCTTTGTGGATTAGAAGGTGCCAATTTGCTTTATGTTTAGTACCTTCCGTCCCTGAGATCGTAATGGATGAAAACTTCCTCATTCTTCAATTTCTGTAAAAAAAAAAAAAAAAAACAGAGAGAGAGAGAGAGAGAGATCAAGAACTGCATTGGAAAGTACAAATATTTGTAAAACTTGGTGGCATAATCTAGAAGTATGAGACTGTGAGATAATACTTGGTGAAGCTTACAAGTTTCTTAATACTGGGGATTTCCTCTAACTTCAATAATATGTGAATTTCAAGTGTTCCATTCCTCCTCTCAGTTAATACTTAATAGCACAATGGCTGTCATTGCGCATTGGCCCCTTCAAGTTACTCATTTTAGTATCTCTATAAAGTTGAACATGAGCATAAGTCTGAGGACAACTCTAAACTGTATTGTTTATTGTTATATTGATTCTTAAAGATTTTATTGAGTCAGTAATGGGTCTCCCTGTATTGGGATGCATTTTATGACCTTTAAAGGAGAACCTCTAGTTGACACTATGTTCATAGTGAACCTGTCTGTGCCAATACATGGGGTGTTGTTAGACTCCCCTATTGAATATCTTAACCTCTCTGATTTAAGAAATTGTTAATTTCTTTCCTTTTGCAGTCTTAGGGTTCAAGTATGAAACTGATATTTTGACCTAGTTTCTTTGTTTAATAGGTTCTGTTTTGCATGCATTGACAACTGGGCTACCATCACAAATCTCTGCCCGCTTTGCCAGAATGAGTTTCAGTTGATCACATGTGTTCCAGTGAGTGATATAAAATAAATCTGTGGAGTGCTGCTTTTTCTTCATTGCTTTAGCATTGCTATTTATGTTCCAAGTAAATTTTCTTAGCCTATTAATGCGATTCAGCATCATTCACTGTGTGGTGTTTTAAGAACACTACTTAATGAATTTTTTTTTCTTAAAGCAGTTACAGTGTTGAAAATTTTAATAATTAAAAGTTGGTGGTTGCTTATCTCTAAATCATGTGATTTCGTGATTGTGAAGGTATATGATACGATTGGAAGCAGTAAGATCGAAGATGACATGTTATCAAGGCAAGTTTCTCAATCTTGTTAGGCTTGCATGATTGACAGGGTTATTTTTTTCAATGCTTGTATGTGACCAAGCGCATTTGTTGATTAAGTTTAAAGTCATATATTTCTTTTCGTTCTTGAAGCATCCAGCCTTGCATCACTAATATCACTTGACTTAGAGTAAATAGCTTCACATTTTTTTCTAAAAACTTTTATGCTTATGAAGTTCTAAATTCTAAATAATCTTTCTTGAATGCAGAGATGATGACTGGTCCATTGAAGGGAAGAATAACACTCTGTCATTTCCCTCATACTATATTGATGAAAATGTAATTATCTTTCATATATTATACCCTGTAGAGTTCTTGGCAAAGAATGTGGCCTCTGGTTAGTTGACACTAATTGCAGCCTTTGTTCTAGCATTTCTTGTGTTGGAGAACAATCTTATATCATATGCAAAACCTTTTGGTTCAAATTCTAAGTTAATTTATTCTCTACACGCTAATAGTTCTATGGATTTGTGTCATGTGACAAAATTTGGCAGTTAGATCCTTTTAAGGTTCTCCTATATGGGGTTCATATCCTAATTTAACTTGTGTCATGCTCAAAATTGTATGGTGTTTACATATTTTTTCATCATTAATTGACTTCTTAACAATCAATTTGTAGCACTAATCCTTGTGAGCTTCATCATTGTGTAGGCAGTTATTTGCTTGGATGGTGATGGCTGCAAAATTCGAAGTGGGTCAGCAACTATTGAAGGTGATTTGAGCCTTGATACATCAATTGCTTGTGATTCATGTGATATATGGTAAGCTTAGACTGTCAATTTCTTTACACTTTTGTCTCTTATGGTTGGCTTTTAATATCCATGCTGCATGAAGCATGATTAACTGGCTATTGGTATGTCTACCCAAATGTTGATAACGTATCATCATGCTGCTCTTGCTGTCACACTGCAGTAGAATGGTGGACAATTTTGCCTATCATAAAGAGTCGGAGAAGGTTCACACTCATGCTTGTGTGGCAAAATATGCATTTGTTTACTTAAATGCATTATGACTACTGAGAGCATATCAGAACAAATTGTATATGATCTGAAAATCATAAAGTGATTGTGATATGGAAATAGAAAGAGAGGTAGAATAGAGAAGAGGAATATAATAGAATTAGAGAGAAAAGAAAGAGAATTCAGGAGGGAATAGAGGGAACCAGAGGGAATCAGAGGAGAGAATCAGAGTTTTATCTGAATAGTACACTTGTATTGTCATCATCAGGCTAGTTACAATGGAGAGATTCCTAGTATTTATAGGATTCGAGTAAACAACCTTAGAATAGGCAGAATAGTTATTTAAAGTAGGGAAATGACTTAACTACCCTTTAATAACCAACAATTACCTAGTTAACATAGACTTTTATTATTTGGGAAAACACAATCATCAGTTGCTATAGTTTCATAGGGTTTTGGTCCCTATAGTTTTTTTTTAGTATTTTGAATTCCTTTAGTTTCAAAAAAATTGGATGACGTTTGTTTTTTTGGTTCCTATAATTTCATTTTTTCAGTGTTTTTAGTCCCTACAGGGATTGAAAACACTATAAAAAAACTACAAGGACTAAAAGTAAAACTTGATGAAACTATAGGGATCAATGATTATGTTTTCCTTTATTATTTTTTGTGGTTGAAGACAAGCCAGAGAGAAGAACTGAATTGATTTATTTGACAATATTGACAGTATATATACACGTATAATGATATTCTGTAAAAGGAAATAAAGAGTAGTAGGAAATAAAATCAAATATTACTCCTAATGACCCAATCCTATCAAATCTCTATTTTTACGGGATGAATCCCTCTAATTTCTCTTTAATTAGTCTCATACTTCCCCTCAAGTTGGATCATAGATGCTAATTATGTGCAACTTGCTTGTACAATTATCAAAAGCGGATTTGTGTAATCCCTTTGTCAAAACATCTACTACTTGGAGATTTGTCGGTAGGAAAGTTAGACATATAATTCCATCTTCCACCTTCTCTCTGATGAAGTATCTGTCTATTTCCACATGCTTGGACCTCTTATGTTGGATAGGATTTAATGCCATACTTATGGCAGCCTTATTATCACAATATAGTTTGAGAGGTAGATCAAGTTAGACATAGATCTCTTCTAAAACCCTTTTTAGCCACAATACTTCCATTATACCTTGAGCAAGGGCTCTCAACTCAGATTCAACACTACTTTTGGATACAACTCTCTGCTTTTGACTCATCAAAGTAACCAGATTTCCCTATACAAATGAGCAATACCCAGAAGTAGATCTCCTATCTTGGTGATGTTCACCCCAATCTACATCTGTATACACCTCTATATTCTTTTGTTCATGTTTTTGAAACAGTTGTCCAGGATTTCCCTTTAGGTACCTTAGGATTTTGTATGCAGCTTCCATATGTTTTTCCTTCGGTTCACACATATACTGACTAGCAACATTCACAGCAAATGCTATGTTAGGTCGTGTGTGAGATAGATAAATCAGTTTCCCAACAAGCCTTTGGTATCTCTCTTTATTCGTTTGCCTCTCTTTCTCTTTATCCTCTTCTTCCTGAACATAGTTACCTTCATTTGAATTGCCCTCCTCTTTCTTGGATTTTTGCCTCTTCTTTAGAACAATGATAGGGGCTTCAACAGGTTTACACCCCAATATACCTGTCTCCTTTAAGAGAGGTACATACTTCCTTTCAGACACATAAATACCTTACTTTGATCTTGCAACCTCTATTTCCAAGAAGTGTTTCAGACAGTCCAAGTCCTTGACCTTGAATTTTTTTCCCAAAACAGCCTTTATTCTTGCCATCTGAATTGGAAGTGAAATTGGGAGATCAAATTATACCTTAAATGAAAAAGTTTAAATATTTGGGAGCCATTATTCAAAATGATGGGGATCTTTCACATGGGATTCAAGTTGAGTAGTTTAATTGGAGAAAAGCTAAAGGAGTTATTTGCGATTGTAAGGTGCCTAATAAACTTAAAGGAAAGTTTTATCGTATTGTAGACCGGCAATGTTATATAGTAGTGAATGCTGGGCTCTAACGGGACAACAAGAGCATAAAGTTGGAGTAGCAGAGATGAGAATGTTACGATGGATGTGCGGACATATACGTAAAGGTAAAATTCAAAATGAGCACGTACACGAAAAAGTGAGAGTAGCACCTATTGAGAAAAAAATGGTAGAAAATCAGTTGAGATGGTTTGGGCATGTACAAAGAAGACCAAGGGAGGCAGTAGTGAGAAGAGTGGAACATATACCTTTGAGCCCGATTAAGAGGGGTAGAGGAAGGCCTAAGAGAACACTCTTGGAAGTTGTTGAATGTGATCTCTTAATTAATAATATTCCTAAAAGCTTGATAAATGATAGAATACAATGGCGTCTTGCAATCCATATAACCGACCCCACCTAGTGGGATAAAGGCTTGTTGTTGTTGTTGTTGTTGTAGCCTTTATTCTTGCCACTTCCTCACTATGATCACCCTTGATGATTATATCATCAACTTATACAATAAGGACACACCTCTTACTCCCTTCTACTTTAACGAACATAGTATGATGCGATAGTCCTTGATTGTAGCCTTGTAGCTTTAGAACTTTTGAGAATCTATCGAACCATGCTCTTGGATATTGTTTCAACCTGGATAATGATTTCTTTAATTTACATTCCTGATTCTCCCTTCCTTTATCAAAACTAGGAGGTAGAGTCATATAAACTTCTTTCAATTCTCTATCTAGGAAGGCATTTTTGACGTCCAGTTGGTGTAACGGCCATTCAAGATTGGCTACTACAGATAACAATACTTTGATGGTATTCAGTTTTGCCACCGGTGCGTATGTTTCCTGGTAGTCAATGCCATAGGTCTGTGTAGGCTCTCTTGCCACCAGTCTAGCCTTCAATTTATCAAGATTTCCATTAGCCTTATATTTGGGGGTAAACACCCATTTGCAACTAACCAGCTTCTTGTTTCTTGGTTTCTGCACAACTTCTCAAGTCTCATTTTCTTCCAAAGCTTTCATTTCTTCCAAGACAGCTTCTCTCCATCCAGATGTTTTCAGGGCCTCATGAATGTCCTTAGGAATACAAACATCATCCACATTCGCAATAGAGGCCCGATACCCTGGGGATAAGGCTTTATAAGATAGAAATATTTGAATAGGATGTTGTGTACATGATCTTGGCTTCTTCTCGAGGGCAATAGGCATCTCAAAGTCATCCGCTGAATTTTTTGAACCTTCTTCCTCATCAAGATTGTCATTCTCATTTTCTTCTTTAGGACTATCTCCCATAGAATTTGTCATTGGTTCTGATTCCGGTACTGCTTCAGGTATGAGAGCTTTTGTACCATTCTTCTTCTTCCGTGTGTAAACTTTGATCTCTTTACCTTCTGCACCTGTGTTCTTGTCTCCCCCTAAACCTGCATTTTCTTTTGATTTTGGAATAAAAGAGAGAGGCTCAAGCAAAGTGGGATGGTCAAGAGAGTGGTCATGGTCAAGAGAATCAATAGGTTCAATGGGGGAATATTCCTGAAATTCACTCCAACTCTCCCCTTGAATTGAAGGAGATGAATAGAAAGGTTCAGATTCAGAAAAAGTAAAATCATGACTGACAAATAGATGTTTAGAAGATGGATCAAAGCATTTATATCCCTTTTGGTGTGAGGAGTAACCAAGAAACACACACTTGACAGCTTGTGGCTCAAGTTTGGAAGAGGAATGGAGATGAACAAACGCAGAAAACCCAAATAACTTGAATGGAAGAATGGTTTCAAGATGAGTGAGAGAGTGAGTTTGCTGGAGACACTCAAGGGGTGTGGTGTATGATAGGATTTTTGTGGGTATGCGATTAATAAGATAGGTGGCGGTGAGGATGGCATCCCCCTAGAAATATTTTGGCACATTTGTGGTAAACATAAGAGCACAGAAAACATCCAATGGGTGTCTATTTTTGCGTTCGGCCACCCCATTTTGTTGGGGGTGTATTCGCACAAGAAGTCTTATGGATGATACCTCGAGTTTTAAGGAAGTCACTTAGAGACTTGTTGACATATTCAGTGCCATTATCTGTTTGGAGAATTTTGATGGATGTGTTAAATTGATTGAGAACCATGGTATAGAATTCGGTAAAAATAGAGGATACCTTAGATTTATCTTTCATTAAATATACCCAACACACATGAGTATGGTCATCAATAAAGGTAACAAATCACTTGGCTCTAGTTCGATTAGAGACACGAGATGGACCCCAAAAATCACTATGGATGAGAGAGATAGGTTTAGAAGGCTTATATTTAGACTGCGGAAAAGAAGACTGATGATGTTTAGCCAATTCACAAATTTCACAATGAAAATTAGAAATTTTATTAAATGAAAATTGGGAAAACAAATGACTCAAATATTGGACATTAGGATGACCCATTCTTTTATGCCATAACGAAAGATTAACTTGTTCAGAAGTAGACACAAGGTTGCAGTAGATTCGGGATCATAGATTACTCACGGTTGATTCATCAAGGTAGTAGAGCCTATCACACTCCTTAGCACTGCCAATCATCCTCTCCGATGAGAGATCCTGGAAAATACAGTGAGTAGAGAAGAAATGAGCACTACATTTGGCTTGTTTAGTCAACTTACTGATAGATAGTAAATTGCAAGCAAGATAAGAAACATGAAGAACAAAGTCAAGGTGTAGAAATTTAGAAATAGTGATACTACCCTTTCCTGCAATGGAAGAGGATGTATCATTTGTCGTGTCAATTTTCTCATGGCCACTACAAGGAAAGTATGAGGTAAACAAAGTAGAGTCTACAGTCATGTGATATGAGGCTCCGGAGTCAACAATCCACTTTGATTTAGTGGAACATACATTGAATGTAAAATGAGAATTACCTTGCTTGGTAACGGAAGCATTATGAGATGGAGATGACTGGTTGGATTGTAAACTATGGAGCATCTTTAGAAGCTTATTTAACTTATCCTTGTCAATGGTGGGTCAGGTACCTGATTTGTTTGAAGCAGGACCAGATTTGTCTGAAGTAGAATCAAAAGTAGTTTGATAGCCATGAGATTTACCTTTACGTGGTTTCCAATCAGGTGGTTTTCCATGGAGGTCCCAACCTTTATCTTTTGAGTGGCCTGTCTTTTTGCAATGCCCATATACAATCTTTCCTTTTGATTCCTTTTGGCCTTGATTAGATTGTCTGCTCACTAAGGCAGAGGACTCAGAGGAAGGAAGGGTTGAGGAGAGTTCAGGCAACATCACCTTGCGACGAGAAGCCTCACAACAAACCTCAGTGAATGCATCACGAGTAGATGGTAGACTGGAGTGAGCTAGGATGCGACTACGAACATCATCTAATGATTGATGTACACCAGCCAAGAATTGGAATACTCGCTCATCTTCAATAAGTCTTTTATAACGTGCTGCATCATTAGGACAAGACCACTCGGTTTCTATGTTGAGATCAATCTCTTGCCACACTGAAACTAACTCCAACTAGAATTCAGTAAGGTCACGTTCACCTTGTTTGATTTGCCAACTTTGAGTTTTGAGATCATAGATTTGAGCACCATCTTCACCATCTGAGTAAGACTCCTTGACTGCATCCCAAATATCCCGTGCTGTCGGGAGAAACATGAAGGATCGTCTGATTTGAGGAGTCATGGAGTTAACTAACCAAGAAGCCACCAGAGAATTTTCGGTCTCCTACCTCACCAAGGCAGCCGAATCTGATGCATTTGGTGGTTTGGACGTACTTGAGATGAGACCTAGCTTCCCACGGCCTTCAACAGCCAGTTGAACACTCTGGGCCCACTCACGATAATTGGTCCCATTGAATTTTTTTCGAACACAAGGATTAGAGACATCTTCTCGACAGAACTCAACCCAAGAGGAGTTTCGTCATTTGGGGTTATTTTCAATTCTGCCTTAGTGCCTGAACCCATGAACACAAAGGGTTGAGGGCGCGAGTCTGACTCTCAGCTAGTTCTGTCATCTTTGTCTGAGTGGTCGTGTTTACTGTCCGTTGGCTCTGATACCATGTGGTCGAAGACGAGCCAAAGAGAAGAACTGAATTGATTTATTTGACAATATTGACAGGATATATACACGTATAATGATATTCTGTAAAAGGAAATAAAAAACAAAAGGAAATAAAATCAAATATTACTCCTAATGACCCAATCCTATCAAATCTCTATTTTTACGGGATGAATCCCTCTAATTTCTCTTTAATTATTCTCACATTTTTCATATCAATACCCCGCTCTTTTAACAGCCCTTGTCCTTAAGGGTTTGGAACTTGAAAATCTGGAAGTTGAACAAAGACATCCGGCTTGCTTCCTCATTAGGTTTCCCTTTCCACTGTACTAAGATCTCAGTCATTACATAGTTTATGATGTCATAGACCTGGTGGTAACGTAGTTTGATTGTATGAAATCAATGGAAAATGTCTTGGTTGTCCCTGTTTTTACTTCTTTTGGCGGGGGTGGGTGTTATGTGTGAAGCTGGGAAGGGGGAAGGGAAATTAGTTTGCATTCATGGCTATTTTCTTGTTATGATCCATTGACAATGGTCTCTGATTATTGATTGAATTAAATTGACAGGTATCATGCTTTTTGTGTGGGATTTGATCCTGATGGTACATCTGATATTACATGGTTATGTCCGAGGTAAAATGGATTTTCTGTTTATTATGTTGAGGGTTTTTGTGCCTGGACTCTTATTTTTGTATTATATTTTTTAGCATTCATAGAACATATTGACAACAAGCTGTTAAATTAAATCAGACAGCATAGAATTTGAAAAATTCTAGTTAGGTATGTGTGTGTGTGTATTTATTTAAATAAGATTGGACTTTTATGTGTGGAACTTCACAATTAGGTAGCTGATAATCTGAAGTCTGGAAATATAATAATATCAAGATATATTTTACTATGTAAACAATTGTCCACATCTTCAAGAGTTTCAAAAATAGTGTTACCAGATTTATTTCTTTTGAAAATAGCCCTTAGCATGTTTCTGTTTACCTTTTGCTTGAATTGAAGATGTTGTTTTAAAGGTATTCAGCCGAGTACTGACAATGTCATTCTCTAGCATTCTAATTAAGGTTTTATCTTAGATGTGTGCCAGATAAAGTTACTGAGAACATGGATGCCAGTTCATTGGAGAAGACAGCTACGGAAATTAACCTAGAAAATGGTAACAAGGAATGTCAGGCTAAGGAATCTTTTTCACGAAAAGTTTCTGTATCTGTTGCTGATGCTGGAGAGACAGCTGTTGTTGTCTCTTTGGTTGATGGAAACCAATGGATTCCAGCATCAAGTGGGAAGGGTTTGTCACCCCTTGAAGCTAGCAAGAATCCAATGACTGAATCATGTGTTTCTGTATCTGACGCAAATAATCACCAAAGTAATACAGAGGAGACTATTAATTCACCAACGGAGCAACAGGAGCTGGAGCTATCCTTGTCACACAATGTGGTCTGTAGCTTGCCCTCTAACACCTTAGGGCTCGATGATTTGAAAAAAGGAACTTATGAAGAAATAAGTGATCCAAGCTGCTTAAGTGGAACCAAGATATTAAATGAATCCCATGACAGTGCTAGTACATCTAGATCTGATATGGGTCTTCATCTTGGTTTGTCAGTGGGCTCCTTTTTATGTGGTAATATATGAATCTTATCACCCTCCTTCAGTTGATTCATGAATTGTTGATTAGAATAGGCATAGATGAGCGCACACGCTTGCACACACAGTATTTGTCAACTGCTGGCTGGCCTAACTGTCAGATTTTAATGTGCTTCTAGTTGATGGCACAGACATGAATGCAACAATAGATCAAGAAACTGATCTCCAGCAGTCAAGTTCAGAAGAATTTACTTTGAAAGGTACAAAAATGTCTAGGAATAATAATTTCCTTTTTCCCCAAATTTTAATTTTGGGTCACTCTTGGACTATGGAAAACAATGATGGATGAAATCAGTAGCTCAAAAGGATTTGGGCTAGCTTTTCATGCGATGGCCTTGATAATGAAATGCTTTCAGGAGATGAAATGGAACAAAATGCTCTTATGGACAATGCCAGAGTAATGGATGGAAAGAGGAAGCATGCTGATTATAGGTAACTCATCTTTTTCATGTGACTTATCCCCCCTCCTCACTAAGAGATCGAAGTTCAAATTTCTTGTTGCTGCTTTCGATATTGTGCTCTCCTTTTGAACTTTGTGTGTGTTAGTTTAAATATTGTTTTGTTGCATGGTGCGAAGACAAATAAATGAACTAGAGACCTTGCGTTTTGTTCTTTTTTCCCCCTTTCTTCAAATAAAAACACATGGAAAGAGAGGAAGAAAGTGGGCCCAGTGAATTGATGCTTTTCTTACTTTTATGTGTGGTTGCAAGTGAAGTTCTTTTGTCACCCATCAAACACTTGGCTGATAATTTAATGTCTTTATGTGCATATTCTGTTGTAACTAGCTTTTTTTCCCCCATTTTATGTCCATTGCATGAGGACTTAATACGCTTACTAATTCATTTTCTCTCGTTGCTCAGTCATGATGAGGTTCATATAGAAGTTGATGGAGATGCCGAACTCAAGCCTGAAGTTGAAGTGTTGCAAAAGAAACTTAAAACTGATGGCACTCTACTGATTAATCACAAGAACCTAGCAGGCGCTCCTCTTTCAGATGATACTAAAACAAACCCTTCTACTAAACCTGTTTCCAGACATGACGATGGAAAGCATCATTCAACAAAGGAGAATGCTGCATCAGATATAATGAGTATAGTTAAAGGCACAAAGTGGAAGCCTCCAAAGGGAACTCCTGGCATCAAATCTTGTGATAAATTATCTGAAAACAATGAAAATATTGTGGGTTTGAGGGTAAAAAAGATCATGAAGAGAGCTCCTGATCATGAGGAGTCATCCTTAGTTCAAAACCTAAGGGAGGAAATTAGAGAAGCTGTCCGCAACAAATCCTCTAAAAATTTTGAAGCAAACCTTGTTGACACAAAGCTTCTTGCAGCATTCAGGGCTGCAGTAGCAGGGCCTAAACCTGAACCTGTAAATAAGCTGCCCACTATGGCTTTGAAGGCAAAGAAGTCAATGTTGCGGAAAGGTAAAGTTCGTGAACATCTAACTAGGAAAATTTTTGGGGCTTCAAATGGAAGAAGAAAGCGTGCCTGGGACAGGGACTGTGAAATTGAATTTTGGAAATATCGTTGCATGAGAGCATCGAAGCCTGAAAAGATTGAAACTTTGAAGTCAGTTCTGGATCTTCTGAGAAAAAGTTCTGGGAGTGCAGAAGCAAAAGAGGATCCTGACGGTCAGGCAAAAAATTCTATTCTTTCCAGGTTGTATTTAGCAGATACATCTGTTTTCCCGCGAAACAATGATGTCAGGCCACTTTCTGCCCTTGAAACTGCTGCTAACTCAGAGCAGAATAAAAAGCCTAACCTATCAGGAAAAGCATCAAATCAGTCTCTTGATAATAGTCTTGTCAAAGCAAAAGAGATAAATAAGGTTTTTCCAAAGGCCAGGGATTGCTCATCTGAAAATAAAGCAAATAAGAAGGTTGTACACAGCTCAGTTGGGGGTAATTCAGCTTCTGGGAAAGTACCTTCAAGCAGACAATCAGAAGGGGCAACAGGTTCTTACTCTGGTGGTTCCAGAGTTGACTTGAAGGAGTCATGCATTAAATCTGATTGTATAAAGAGTGACAAAAGAAAATGGGCCTTGGAGGTTCTTGCAAGAAAAGCAGCTTCTGCTGGCAAGAAAATGACAAATGACGGTCACGAAGATAATGCAATGCTTAAAGGAAATTATCCTTTGCTGGTATGTTACAGATTTGGTTATTCTTATGATATTATGTTTGGATGCTTTAGGATTGGTTTTGGATATTGTTTATCATCGTTCATTATTACTTCTTTCTGTTATTGAAGTGTAGGCCCAATTGCCAGCTGATATGAGACCAGTATTGGCACCTAGTCGCCACAATAAAATTCCTATATCAGTCAGGCAGGTATGCTGCTGCGCCTTTTTTCCTACCCTTGGGAGGAACATCCGTTGTAGTCAGTATGCTGGATATATTTACCTGGAGCTTTTCTCTTTGAAAAATAGTTTCAGATTGATGGAAAACCTGGGATGACAAAATGAATGCACGCTCTTTCTACAATGAATGCAAGTTGGGATTTTGTGTTATCAGTAGATTTCGATTCATGATGAAAGTTGGAAATTATGTCCCTCTTTCTCACAATTTCCGCATTGCAGATATTTCTGTTTGCTGACCTGGAAACTAAGGATATAGTTGACTCTGATGTATTCAAATGTATATAACATATCACTAGTGCCACGGGATTTCTCATTCCCATCTCATTCCCAATTCTATGGTCATTACCTCTATCACTTGATTGGAAGGAACAAGAACAACACCTAAATTCTAGAGGACCTTGGGGGAGGTGCGGAGGGGATCTCTTAAATAAGAATTTGAATGTACTATAGATAGTAATCTGATATTGGAATAAATTTCAGTGCATTCTGTGAAAATTATAATGCATAATTAGCGTGCCATGCATGTGGAGTTGTGTAATGTGCAAATTTCATTGACTGATGTTAAGGTGTATACCTTTAATGCTTTTTACAGACACAACTTTTACGGCTGACCGAACTCTTCTTGAGGAATGCAAATCTGTCGGTCATTCGCAGAACTGCAGATACAGAATTGGCTGTTGCAGATGCCATTAATATTGAAAAAGAGGTGGCTGACAGATCAAACAGCAAGCTAGTGTATCTGAATCTCTGTTCACAGGAGCTCTCTCACCGCTCAAATAACAGAAAATCCAATGGAGCAACAGATATAACTCCGCAGGTCTCATCAGCAGTCCCAACTGATAGATCAGAACACAATACTGAAGATGATCTTTCAACTGACTCTGCAGTTCAAATAGCCCTTAAAAATGCTGGTCTTTCGTCTGATTCTCCTCCTGGTAGTCCAAGTGAGAAAAGAGAAATATCCAATAGCGAAGATGATCTTTCAGGGCCTGATAATATTCTTGAACTGGATTCTCAAACAGATACGGATATTTATGGGGACTTTGAGTATGATTTGGAAGATGAAGATTACATCGGTGCAGGCGTTGCTAGAGGCTTAAATTCACAAGAAGAAGAAAGCGAGTCAAAAATGAAACTAATTTTCTCAACTATGAAGAGTTCAGATACGGCTTTGGATTGTATGGGCTCTGAGAGGTTGGAAAACAAGGAAGTTCCACGAGATGCCCCCTGCTCATCAGATCATGATGATGCAGGCAACAGGGACTCTGCAATTAATGCAGAGACTGGCGATCCTTCGGCTCCTTCCGAGGCCTTTCTCAGGGAGCCATGTGATGTAGAATGCGAGGAATTATATGGTCCAGAGAAAGAACCCCTGACAAAAAAATTTCCGAACGAGGAATTTTTAACATTACATGGAGAGGACAAGTCAGGAACGTCCTCTGAAGGCAATGACTGTCATAATGAAGAACAAGCATCAGACCAAGCAGTCAATGCATCTGTGTCTGGGAATGACAAACTTGCGAAGAATATGTGGGCGACTGCTATGACTGACAATTCATCTAATGTATCTGATAATAGTGAAAATTTACGGAGGAAGGGGGATAAATCTGACACTGCTGCTGAGCAGTCTGGCTCTGCAAATCATATAGTTAGAAAGGTAATAGAAAGCTAATTTTTCCTGCTCTCGTTTTTGTACCTGATCTTATTTTATATGTGCGATACTTTATACGATCAAGTTATTTTAGGGGTTACCTGAACTATGAAGCATATTTTCTACTAGTGGATTAGACTTTAGTTTTCATTTTCCATTTCACGGACACGCGCACACGTTTCCTGTAAAACCTATATATTTACGTAATCTTCATGGACTTGTGCGCAGGTTGAAGCTTATGTCAAGGAGCATGTCAGGCCACTGTGCAAGAGTGGTGTGATCACAGCTGAACAGTACAGGTGGGCTGTTGTAAAAACGGCGGAAAAGGTTATGAAGTACCATTGCAAAGCCAAGAATGCCAATTTCCTTATAAAGGAAGGTGAGAAAGTGAAGAAACTCGCAGAACAGTATGTTGAAGCTGCCCAACATAACAGAAAAAATTGATTCCTTGTAAACTTTTTTGTTACTGAACCCCTCCAGAATCTTGCTCTAATTGTACAGCTGTTCCTTTGCTTTGGATCTGGCCTCACCTTAGCATTACTTTAGAGATTGAGCCTAAATTGGGGATTTATAGGTTTTGTTGGAGAATAGTTTAGCAAGTGATAGAAACCCAAAGCTTTCAAGGTAAACGGTCAAGTTCCACAGTCAAATGTCCACCGCAATTGTTCTTTTGCGCGCGCGCACACAAAAGAAAAAGAAATGGAACCGAAAGAAAGAAAGAAAAGTCGATATCTGGGTGCGTGTGTTTGGTAAATGAATTGCGTGACCTGCATTGAAAGTTGAAACGCAGGCTTTTTAACTGAAATGCTATGCACAGTAAAAGAAATTGTTCAAATGTTGCAACGTAAAAAATATTTATCAAAATGCTATATAAAAAATTATTCAGATGAAGAATGAATTTGAGGTTTTGAAGAAGTTGTTCTTGTCTAAATTTTTTTATTCCATGGAAAGCATGAACGACTTTAGGTTATTATTAACGATGTGACATCTTATTTTGAATCTCACTTCTTTTTTCCTCGTGATTGTTTTGTCGAGTCCTTCTTCATTTGTTAAGGAACTCTTCAGCTTTTGCTTTTCATGTGTGGGATTAGAAAATTCATGTGCCTGTGTATTTTATTGGTTATATAAGGGATTGAAGACATAAAGATGGTGGTAGCGAGATTGAGGCCAAATATTTTAAGGCTTCTCCAATCTGTTTAGAAATAATTCTTGCACTTCTTATTTTATTCTTGCATTAACGAGATTAAATATAATGTCATTTGCTCTCATTTGCCTAGTGTTTTAGCATTTTGTTCTTGCGTTTTTCATTCTTACTTCATTTCCTTCCTGCTTCATTTCCTGTACTCTTTCATTTCTCTCTTATTCAAATTTAAGGTACTTTCTTTCTATTCCATTTCTTTATTTCAGTTGGTAGTGTTAGTATTATGATCAGAGTTTGAAGTGTATTTTCTTCTTTTTTATTTACTTAAAGCTTGACTTACCATCTAATTAAGGTACATTTTTTAATATATTTTTTTCAACTTTTATGTCAAAGTTAATTTTTTTTTGAGTAAAAGGTTAATATTTAATCATTAATGTTTTGTATATTAAGTTTTTTTTAATTATAAATGTAGATATGTAGTTAATTATTTTATAGACTAATTAGGGGTAGAATCAGCATAAATGTAAAGGGGGGGTCAAATTTTTAAAATTGATATTTTTATTTATTTTTAATTTTTAATATTTATACTAATTAATTATGTAAGTTTATTACATTAAAAATATGAGAGAATAAATTACATATAATATTAATCATAACAAATATATCTATAAATTATATATAGAAATATATATCTATAATATTAATCATAACAAATAAAAATAATATAGGAAAACCTTATCAAATAAATAATATACAAAAATTTTAAAAGTGACATTATATATCTATAATATTAATCATAAAAAATATAAATAGTATAGGAAAAACTTATCAAATAAATAATAAAGAAAAAATATATATTTGACATATTAAAAAATTTAATTTATATAAATTCTCAATTTTTTTATAATAATTGATATGTAAAAAAATGTGAATGTTACAAACATAGCAAATCCTTATATTTTAGGGAGAGAGATCACACACACACACACGAGTCAAAAGTTGCAGGGTTGTGAATTGTATCAAAAAAATTATGAGTCAAAAAAAATTTAAAGGGCTCTAATAACATTGAGTAGCTGAACTTGATCTTTCTTAAGGAAAATATGGTTTCACCACTGAGAATAATTATAATTAATTTATTAATAAAAAGATTAAATACACATAAAAAAATTATTACATGTAAGTAATACTTCATTTGGTCTTAAATATAAAAGTTAGATAATTAATTTATAAATATTGAAAAAATTAGTTAAGTTAATTTATTTTTATAATTTAATTTTACTAGGGTGTTAATTGTAAAATGTAATATTTAGAAAGTAGAATTGATCATAGAAAAGAGTTCGTGGCTATATTTGCAAATGGACAGATTTTTCATGCCTAACTGATGTAATATTTGATTAAGATACTATGAAAGTAATGAAAGTTAACCCAAATATAACCTTAGATAGACTAAAACAACTTATTGGACAAAAGCTATGACTTCCTTCTAATAAATTAGTGACAAATCTAATATATAAATATCCCATATGCATAAATCCACCACAGTAACAAGTATGCAATTTGGAGGATGATTCAGATACACAACAAATGTAGCAAGTGAGCTATCAATTTTCAACTCAATTGATAGGTACAGAGTTGTATGCGGACATATGTGAGTTAAAAGTTAATGGTCATATTGAATCACAACCAATGGATAATTATGTTAGAAATACTCTTCCAACAAGTAACAATCAAGCGAACATTGTAGAACAATTATCCATCTTTAGTGATCACACAGTAAATTCCCACCTATTTAAGCCTCCCCTGGATATTGGCAATAATGGGCCATTGTGTTCTCTTTCTTTAATGGAAGACATCATGGATGAATCTAAGGATGAGGATGAATATAATTCTCATTTAAATGTTGGTGATGGGAATGATAGTATTGCCAATGACTATAATGCCAACAATGAACATAATGAGGTTGCAATTGCTTTCTTGTTGCATGTTAATGTTGAGTCAACTATGACTCATGATAAAATGGTTGATGATGAGATAATTTTGCGGCCATATGAATCTCTTAAAGTATGCCAATTGATTCCATATTATTGTTTGGCAACACTCGAGATTTAACTTGCATTAGTTCCCTGATTTGTTTTCATGTTACAGAATGGCATCACCCTAATTGTGTACTAAGATAATTTGGTTGTTAGCAACTAATTCCTTCCATGCCTATTCATTTGAAAAATTACCACACAATTCAATTATGGGGATGAACAACTATAAATTGGACTAAAAAAAAATCCATATTCATTCAAGCATGGGATAGATGGCCACTTATTATTGTTAAAGCTCATCCAGCATTATATGAGTTTGATAGAATATTTGAATATATGTAATGGTATTGGAAACATATTCGATAATGGATCAAACGTATTAGTAGTGATATTGGGTATGCGGTAAGTTTTTCACATTCTCTCATTTATACCATCCCTTTTCTTTAAAAAAAGGGTTATAATATATTTTAGATTGACATAGCAGGGGAGTTATACAGGCTAACAATTAATTCTCATTTAGAATGCTCTCATTGCATTGATTATTAAGATAGGGTTGCTCAAGATTAACGCAACATCTCACTTGTAATGAGAGAACAACGATTTAATAGAGATCCTCAACCTGTTCCACTAAGAATTGAGTTGCTTCGTTCACAAAATTCTCAAGATAAATTGAGCAAGCGACTTGGTAGCTACTTGTCTACCTTATCATCAATTAAAAATGAAAATGTAGCAAAATAAGAGCTTCAAAATTTTAATCAATCTCATTACATATTAGCCTCAACATTATCTTCACCCCCTTTCACTTGTCCCGATTCCACTCAATTGAGTCTCATTACATTCTACTCTCATCATCATCTTCCTTTTTTAACTCAACAACTCTTACTCAATTTGGATTGTTCATGTCTTTACTTGATGATCTTGCATTATTTTCTATTGAATACAACACTTTCACTTTTAAACATGGCAGACCATCAAATGAAACATATACCACCTTTCGATGGCCGATTTCTTTAATCGAATCACCTTGGTTTAATTTAAATATGCTGGCTACTCAGATAAATAAAACACTTAAATTTCAAGAAGAGAGGGATATGCAACGACACCAACTAATAATTATTTATTTATTATTAATAATTTTTACTTTAATACACCTCATAATAATTCTTTAATCATATTACTAACAATTATTTATTCATTATTTTTATTTAAATGATTATTAAATCATTGCACAAATTATATGATGGGACAGGGCAAATGAAGTTGATAAATCGTTTATGTCAAGAGCAAGTTTTAGAGAAAGAGAAATGATGTATTGAAAAAATCGTTATTGGTTTGATAAATTTTAAAAAATCATTCTCCCCCTCAACGATTTTAGATGTAGCATTTTGAAAAATAATTCCCATAATATAGCATTTTGGTATTTTCTTTTATATTATATAGTATATTGGTAAAAAAAAAAACTTGAAACGCATGTACTAAGATTGTGGTTAATGGAAAATGATTTTATAACCTAGTAGCATGTTAGTTTCTATATAAGTAAAAGGTGTCTTCAATTTTAACGAGAAGTGTTAGTGCCTATCTTTTAATTAAAAGAGAAATTATTGTTGATAATTAATATTACTTATATTAATAGGATTGTGATTAGATTCTTATTGGACGATGTATTCATATTTAACACGTGAACTTGTTAAAAAAATTTATTTAACATATAATTATTATTTTACAAAGTGAATGGAAATATTTATAAATTTAAAAATGAAAGGTGAGCCTGTGCACAAAATAAGAGTTAGTGCATGCCATGTATCAGTTTTATAATTAACCAAGCAAACGTTCTTTTTATAAATCTTATATTAATAATATAAGTTTATTATTTTTTAAAAATTTTAATTTCATGAATTTTATATTTTACTATTTTTCAGATTTTTAGATTCATTATTATTTTGAAGCTGGGCTTATCGAATGCAGAAATTAAAACTAGCCTAAAAAAAAAATGCCTTTTGTTCTTCACCTCATCCTCTCTTGCCTTTCCGCTCAACTCGGTAGTTAGAGCTCCGACGTTCAAAAGAAAAAGAATGAAAGCTCTGCACAGTGCACATAACGTGATAAACCCTGCTTTCTAGTGAATGAATCTGCCAAAACAATGGCTGCTATTGACATTCTATCGCCGCCCCAGCTTCACATTTCCAGGTCCTTCTCCAAACACCGTTTTGGAACATCCAAAATATTGAATTTCAATGGAAATGCTCGGGCTCAAGTGTTTTTCCTCCGCCGGTCGTTCAGAGTTTTGTGCAATTCGATGTCCTCTTCACCAGCCGGTCAGCATAGCGACACCAGTGGGGAAGATTTTGTGAGCAGGGTTTTGAAGGAGAATCCAAGCCAAGTGGAATCCAAGTATCTCATTGGTGACAAATTTTATACCTCAAGAGAAAAAGAAATATTGAGTAAAAAGTTGAATATGGGATTTTTGGAAATTTTG